CAGATGGGAAAACTGCCACCTGAATGATGAAGCGGTACACCCAAAGCCCAGCAGCCAGGAAGAGACTGAACCAGGCTCCCAGAGCCCCTCTATGCCCCACAGAGCAGGAAGCCCCTGGGTCAAGTTCCCTTTCTCAGGGGCCTCTCTTGGCCTAGCCCACAGGAACTGTCTGCTCTCTCCGCACTGCCCTACTTCCCTTCAGGGCTTAGGAGTCGTGTAGAACCATGACTTCGGTTTGGGGGTGTCACTGGGTTTGAGGCACGGCCTCCCTCTTCTAGCTGGGAGGATAACAACCCTATTACCCAGTACCCCATGGGTCAGGGTAAAATGCTGGGGAACAGGGGTAGGGGGGGCAGAGGGGTGAAAGAGCTATGTGATGCATTTCAACTCAATGCCGTCCATATTTCTGGCCCACTGTGGCCAAATGACGGTCTGCTCTCCTGGCACCCAGGTCAGGAGAGCCCAGTGGGTGAGGGTTGCTCCAGCAGACCTTCCTTCTGCAGCCTGGGTCCCAGGGAAGGCCGCCCAGAGAAAGTGATGAGTTAACCGAGAGTGAGCCAGAGAGGACAGGGAGGGCAGCAGGGAGAAGGCACATTGAGGAACAGAAATGAGTTTCAAGTGGGAGCCCCCTTGGAGGTCCCAGAAGGGAGTGAGAGTTTTCCCTGAGAGGCTCCAGTAAGGAGTTTGGCCTTTGACCCACAGGTTTGGGGGATGAATCCCTGACTGATGTGGTGAGAAAGGTATTTTTAGCAAGACTCTGTTGGAGGTGTGGAAAGGACCTGGCAGGCAGGGAGGGGTGCTTATGAGGCCAGGGCCATGCCCAGAGGAGAGAGGAGGGAAGCTCGTGAGGCTGCGGGCACTCCTTGTCATTCCTTGGCTTGTCGACGCATCGTTCCAACCTCTGACTCTATCTTCACATGTCTTCTTTGTGTCTATGTGTTTTCTCCTTTTCTGTTTCTTTTAAGGACATTCAAAATTTGACTTAGGGCCCACACTAATCCAAGCTGATCTCATCTCAACTTCCTGACCTTAATTACATTTGCAAAGACTTTTATTCCAAATAAGGTCACATTCTGAAGTTTCAGTTAGATGTTTTTTTGGGGCCATAAGTCAGCCCACTATAGAGATGACTAGTCCTTTGGTGGTTTTGACAAATTCCATGCGTTGTCTATGTTCAGACATGATTCTGGAGTGGTCCTGTTTGTCTTGATCCATCAGGGTCACAGAGTGCCCTTGTCTGATGCGATGTTCTGTGAAATTGTTTACGTTCAGCTAGGGAACACCAAGTCCCAGACTGAAGTGCCAGGCTAGCTCCTGGAGGCCAGGGCTTGCTTTTCTCTTTCTCACTTGAAGGTAGTGAGGGAGGGAGCCTTGCTGACACCTGGGGGAAGAAGTCGGCCCCAGGGGCAGGGCAGGAGTGCGCCTTGAGGGCTGAAGGACCAATCAGACTCTGGGAGAGTGAGCAAGAGGGAGAGAGGTAGGAGGGGAGAGTGGTAGGGGGAGGGTGTGCAGTGGAAAAACTGCTCTTCGTCTGGAGAAAATGAGGAGCCTGTGGAGTATCCTGATCAGAGCAGTAAATATGACCGATGGGTCTGTAGCAGGTACCGTTTCAATGGCGTGTCGGTGGACTGGTGTGGTTCCAAGAGTGAGCAGAGGAAGGAACTGGAGACAGCAAGATGAGGCCATTCTTTTCAAGAGATGTTCTACAAAGCGGAGCGGAGAAAAGTGCAGGGGAAGCTGAGGTTGCTGATAGGGAAGTGGAATCGAATCAAGAGATGGTTTTTGGTGTTTCCTTTTAAAGTGAGAGCAGTAAGAATGCGTTTGCTGCTCAGAGTGGCCCACAGCAGCAGAGGGCGGTCTTGGCAGTGTCAGGAGGAGAGGGCGTGACTGCAGGTGAGGAGACAGGCTCCAGTGCCCAGGTGACTGCTTGGCTGGCCACTGAGGGGCGGGGAGACTGAGGCAGGCAGGGAGACTTGGCCATCAGAGGCTCTCTTCTCAGAGCCTCCTTCCACATCTCATCTGCACTTTCTGTTCACAAACTTGGCTCCAGGCCATGAGGCAATAGTGTCACCCAACTTGGTCTATGTGTGGAGACAGCACTTAGGGTTCCAAAGGCCTTCCAAGGAGATCAGAGATAGTGACAGAAAGAGTAGGAAATAGGGAGAAAAATCAGAAAGTGACCAAAATCCAGAGTCTTCACAGACCCAGGAAACAGGTAACGCAGCAACCCGAAGCAGGAGCTCCTCTGTGCGGTTCATAGTCCAAACCACCAGCATTGGACTGGACTCCCTTGCTTTACCGCTTGCCAGCGATGTGACCTTGGTCTGAGGACTCTTTCTGAGCTTCAGGTTCCCCAGCTGTAAAATGGGGCACCACCAACCTCCTATCAGGGCTGTTGGGAGAATTAGGGAAATAATGCACGTAAAGTGCCCACAGGTGCCCGGACAGAGAGCTATATTCTTTTCAGTCCTTCTCATCCCCCGCCTCACAGCCCCGCTCCGGGGTTCACACCCGTCGTCATAGCGATTCCAAGGATGGTAGCAGGGCCCCGCCTGCTGGCTGACTCTGGAAGTGCACCTTTCCCCCGTTCAGAGGTGGACTGCCCAAATCCAATTCCCTAGCAGTACAGGCAATGATTTTGATTCCCCAACAGATGCCATCCAAAATCAGTGGGTGAGCACCCCAGAACCTTCCCACCACCCCCATACGCTGGGGGTTTCAATTCACCCTGCCCCCTTTGGTCCTGCAGCTGCACAAGCACGGAGTGCCCTCCCCTCCACCACTTGGAAACACAAAGGTCATTCCTCTGGAACTTTCCATGACCCTCTCCCCTTAACCATGCTTGCTTCCTGCAGACAGAACTAATGGAACTTTCTCTTCTGTATTCTCTTTATATTTGTACTCACCTCTAGATTTGCTAACGTGTGTGAGAGCACTAGAACACGTGTCTCACATGAGGCCAGGTAATTGCCTTATTTTTCTACTGCCAGAGGGATTTGGTAACATCTGAAATCTCCCCAAGGAAGTCTCCCACACTGTGGGTGACAGGTGAGGTGTGAGTGTGAGATGTACTGTGGCTTATCCGGTATTTCTACATGACATTTTTTTTTAAGGAAAAAAAAAAAAATCCTTCAGTGGCTTCCTGGTGTTTTCAAATCCCCCAGCAAAGCTGACAGGGTGGGGTCTGGCCTCTGCATGACTCTTACCTCCTTCCGCCCACCAGCCGGCCCCACACCTCAGGCCGTGCCTCTCAGGCTGGTTCCCCTCCCCAGAGCAGCTCGGTTCACACCCCTCCACATAGTAAATCCCTACGTGTTCTTCAAAGCTTGGCCCAACTGTCATCTCCCTAGAAGCCTTCCTGACCCCCAGGGCCGTGCCATCCTCGCCTGTGCATCCCTCCACTGAAGCGCTCAGCATCGACCGCACTGTCTCCCTTGGAGAAGACAGGCCTCCTGTAGGCAGGGGGCATGCACTTCCATTACCCAATGTGCGAGACATATCCGTTCAATCCAAACTTTAGCTGAAATCCCTTCTAAACTTATACAACTTTAGGTTCCTTCTGCTTCTGTGCTACCTGAGCTGCAGCCAGTAACCAGAGAGCAGGTGACCAGGTTTAAACCACGCCCACTGCAGGACAAGGGTCCCAAAGCCCAGCCTCCCATCAGGTCAGCGGTTCTGCCTCCCAAGAGCGCTGGCACCTCTTAACCCACCCAGTTGGCTCCATGAGGCTTCACTCTGGGAACTAGAATCTCTAATTAGAATTTTTGCCTTCATCAGGGGGCATTTTCATTTGTGGTAATAAAATGGGGACAGAACACCACCTCTCAGGCCCGAAAGCTGTACCTTTGACAAACTTCCCTAATGTCAGTGGGAATCAGTGATGGTGACTCAATCACAACTGCACCCAATTGACAAAAGTTACATTTAATTTACAATGTAATAAAGGTTACAGGTAAAAAGCTACACTTAAAGCGTGAAAAGGCCTATTACACAAATGTACAAATCTCTGTACAAAGCTCATATCAATGTTTTCTACCTTCGTCTCCTACGTTTGTTAGCCGGGGCTAGCCTCAGAGCTCTGGGTAACGAGAGCTCTCAGTCAAAGGGGGGAAAGAACCTCTGAACCAACATCTAAAAATGTTCTCTGAGACACATCAGTTACTCACAAAGTAAAATCTTTTTCTTTTTAATTGGAATTGTTCTAACTGGTGATATCCTTTAGAAATTGCCTTCATTAACACACTTGAAAAGGAAACGTAAAGCCTTAGAGAATAGAAGACGGTACCCTGGAATCAAATGAGAAACTTCTGCAAGTAGAGTACTCAGGTTTGACAAGAAAAACAGGTAAAATTCAAACATGTAGTAAGTTTAAAACTATCAACCTGTGTCTGTGGTACTGGTCTCAGACCACAATCAAAATGTTCTCATTCCAATAGAAAGGCAAAAGAGAAAAGCCTGACTATTGGACCTCAAAAGCACTGACCCACGAGAATATTTTTGAGTTTAAACTTTAGCTTAACTGAAGAATTCTAAACCCTTTTGATCAACCTCAGATCCATGGCAACCCTTCTGCTCTGTGGGACTTACAGGGATAGTATATATAAATTAGGCTGCAGGACCCACAAGGCTGGTGATGTGACTGTCACCTCCCCAGCTCTGAATTCAACCTGAGGGCCTGGAGTCTATCCCTAGTAAGTGACCTTAAATAAAAAAGATCCTAGAAAGAGGGAGGAGAGGAGAGGAAACGAGAGGCCTGGGAGAGAGGCAGGGCAGTCTACTTAAAAGGATGTACAGAACATTTCTCTGCACTGAAAGTGCTCTGAAGACTGGTCTTTACGGGCTATTTCAACCCCACCCCAAGTTTTGATATTACATGGTTAGGACCCCAGAAGACATTCTGAAAGACGATACTGCACACATGGAAAATTTTTCTCCCTAGTTCATTAGCTCCCCCATTACCCTTCCACCCAATTCCCACCCCATCCCACCCCTCTCCACGACCAAAAAATATCAAATCAGTAAGGAAGGAGTGGGCTTCTTGCCCGGCCAAGCTTCTTTTGCATATTTCTTCTTCTTGGGTTCATTGACAGCTTCAGGGTTATAGACTACAGGGTTTGGTGCAGGATTCATGGTCACTGCGGATGGCACGACAGGAGTCAAGTCCACATCAGGGGCGAGGTTCGGGTAGGGCATGGGCAAACCACCGATGAGTGCTGTCCCGTGGATGCCATGTGGCTGGGAGCCTGCTTCACTGTGTGTGGGGGGCAGACCTCCATAAAGTCCTCCACTGAACGCAAAGTTCTGTATGCGCCTGCTCCCTGATTCTTCCAGGCCCAGGGAGCCAGCGCCCTCCACTCGCTTCTTCTGTGGTTTACAAAGAAGAGAGGAGACAAGAGGTGAGACAGAAGAGTGGTACTAATTAGCTTTTTTATATTCTAGTCCTAAAAAAATTGGGGAAGGCCCCTAAACATTTAGTTTGTTTTATTTCCCAGACAACTTATTTCGCTGTCCTGAAATCTCAGGGTTTGAAGAGACTTTACAGCAGTCATCTAACGTGATGGGTCCACACAAAGTATTCACCATCCCAAGTCACACCAAAAAAAATGGGGAGAGTGTGTGAACTTTTCATAAAGTAAAACATATCCAGTTTGTTTCTGTTCTTTACCCTTAGGTTATCATACCGCCTTACTCTCTCTCTCTTTTTTTTTTTTGGTGTTAAAATGTCCTTTCAGGAAATAGAGGTGATAATGGGTGGTAGCAGTTATTTAAATTTTTTTTGAGGTGGGAGGATAAGAAGTTAGTCTGTTTTCACGTTGGGCGCCCAATTTTTAAACATTAATCTCAGAGCAAAACAAATCTGTAGTGAATGAAAGAAGGTGACTGGCTGCCTGTGTCTGGGAGTGGCAGAGAACTGGCAACAAAGGGAAATAAAGGAACTTCTTGGGGTGAAGGAAATCTAGATCCTGAGTATGGTGGTGGTGACACCGGTGTTCACATTTGTCAAAATCCAAACTGTACACTCGACATGTGTGTATTTTATTGTATGTAAATTATACTACAATAAAACTGACATAAAAGTAAAAACATCTGCTGGTTTTGTACTTTAATGACAATAGAACATTCCAAAAAGAGAGAAACAGGCTTAAGGGAAAATGTGACATGTATGCGCTGGAGCTGCACAGAAAATTTCATCTTATATTTTTTCACACTGGATCCCCCTCACTTCTCTACATCTTTTGGATTAAACAAAGACTAACCAGGAATTTGACATATCAATCTAGTCTAGTATAGTATAAAGACTTTGTATTTTTAAAAGATTTTACTTATTTATTTTGAGAGAGAGAAGGGAGGAGAGAGACATCAATCGGTTGCTTCTCATGTCCCAACCGGGGACCACGCCCACAACCCAGGCATGTGCCCTGACTGGGAATCAAACTGCCAACTTTTGGCTTTGCGGGACAGCACCGAACAACTGAGCCACATCAGTCAGGACTATTCTAAAGACTTGTTAAAAATAAATATAGTATATCTGACTGGCATCTTCCAATTGCTTTTTGAATACCTCTATTTACAGGGACTTCAGTACTTAAAGTAGCTGCCAGGTAGTTCCTCTGTGTGTTAAGCAATCAGAACACCTTTGTAACTTCCACCTCTTGGTTCTTCAATATACCTGGTCTTTAAATCTAATCCAGGTCTGGGCTGGCTTCCCTATAGGAGCCATTCCCACGCACAGAATAAAGACACAGCAAAGGCCGGAGGTGCCATGCAGAAATGCAACAATGCCTTTACCTCATCTAAGAACTTACTCTGAGCCAGAAGGGAAAGACTAAAGAAAGGTGGGTCTCTCTGCAGCCTGCTGGAAGGTAAATTTACAGACTCACACTGCACCATAATTTAGATGCAGCATCAACCTGACTGGTCACCTGCAGCCTTTCTATGGCCCTCCAGGATCCCCTAGACATAGATGGAGTAAAAGTATTTCCACAGGGTTAAAAATGGGAGAGCAAAGAATTTGTTTTAAAATTAGGCACACATTTAACACTTACCTACATATAAAAGAGTGAATTTTTAAACCAGACCAAATGAAATGGCATTTCACAATGTGTTTCCTACCTTCACTGGGACCACTGCAGTCTGTACCATGTTCCGGAAGCGTCCAACTGAAGGATCCACATCCTCTGCAAAAAGACGTGAGGGAAGGGTTAGTTTGGTCGTCTCCTGGGAGGATTAAGGGTATAGTGCTTATCACAAACAAAGCAATCACAACAATTCATATTAAAACAGTAAAATACAGCTAATGCTTCAAGTGTTTACTATGTGCTGGGCACTGGTTAAATCCTCACAAGCCTATGAGGTAAATGCTACTATGATAAACAGTTAATAGACAAGAAAACAACCCAAGCTTAGAGGAATAAAGTGACGTGCCCAGTCACCCTATCAGAGAGTGGAAGAGCAAGGATTAGAGTCCAAGCAACTAGAAATAGGACTGGACCACCGTGCTATGCCGCCTTCCCCAAGTTCTTTCTTATTCCATACACTTTCCTCTTTCTGAGAGGATACATTAAAGAGCAGATGTTATCAATCCAATGCAAGTAATAAAACAATGATATGCCAAGAGGTCACACACCACCTACCTTGCTAATGCCCGCTCATTAGCAAATAACAGAATTAGGGTTCAGATCCATGGCTTCCAACTTAACTTGGCCTTTTGACCTGAACTGCTGTATGCAATCAAGACTTTTACTGAAGACTCTGAAGCTCCCTGTCCAGACAGGGTAGGAGAGTAGCTCCCTTTTCATAGTTTACACACATGTTATTGTACCCTACAAAGCTTCTAGCTTCATTCACTCTGCAGGGAGAAAGAGCTAAGACCAAGAAAAGGATGCGCTTGCAATCAGTCACTCTCTCATGCCTCATTTATTAGACATCAGGCATGAAATGAAGAGCAAGATACTATCCTGCCTTTAAGGAGCTGACAGTTGTAAAGTCAGGTAGGCTACAACACACTGGAGGTGCTTCAAGAGAGGGGGCAAATCTGGGTTTTGGAACACAGAGAAGACAATTGGGCTGGGTCACCTAGGGGGAACAGTTTTCTTGCTGAAGGCTGAGTGTGTGGAAACAGGCAGGCCAACTTACTAGGATCACTAGAAAAAAACTATTCCAAATCCCCTTTATCTTAATGTAGTGCTAGGAAAGGAACTGGTTCCCTAACAGATGTTGTCCATTTTATTTTAAATGTACTGAGGGAGTTTGCTATTTAAAAACAACACTCCTATGAATTCCTTTGGAAAATAAAGATTCCTTATTTAATTTGAATAATTAACACCTGGTTGATTTAAGCTTGCCTTTTCACATGTTAGGATGCCTCTAAAGAACATACCCTGGTATATTCATTGAACAACCAACCTCTGTTCAATGAATGAACGAATAAAGGGCTTCCACGTGAAAGAAGAGGAAAAGATAACCAGATTCAGGAAGGACACAAGATCTCTAAAAAAGGCACCTTGATCTTGATCTTTTCTCATCCCCAAAGACCTGTTCCAATCATCCCTTCCGCAAGGAAAGCTGAATGAAGCACATGAGCAACTGGAGCCTGACAGGGGTGGCTACTAGGGGACGCACCCTGTGCATGCACTAGGCCTAAGGCCTACAGAAGGGTGGGTGCTCGGCCTCTCTGGGAGACCCTGTTCTGTGCTGGCTGAATGGTGGTCAGGCCTCTCATGCTCTCCTCATTCTCTAGCCAGAGGACATATCCAAGACAGAGGATACAACCGTTCTAGATGATCTCTGCTCCTGAAAGATCTACCAACAAATTCCTTGCAAAGTCTACTTCTGGGTATAGGAAAGTTTGCATGGCTAGAAGGCAAAAATTCTGACAGAAAACAGTGGGGATAATGGCTAATATTTATCAAGAGCTTACTGAATGCGGAGCACCAATCTAAAGTATTTTTACATGTCATGCGTTTAATCTTCCCACCAATCCTGTGAGGCCAGTAGTCTTTTAAGTCACTTGACCAAGATCATACAACTACTAAGTAGAGAGGTGGATTTCAAGCCCAGGCCCTCTGATTTCAGAGCCCATACTGTTTAACCTCTGTACTATACTCTGCCTGGATACACTGCCTTAATAAAGCTCTGGGGCAATACTTTTCCAGGAGAAAAACAAAGCAGATCAGATGCTGAGTCCTAAAAGAGACTTAAATGATTGTCTAGTCCAGTAATTCCCAAGTTACTGGCTGTTCCTTAGTACAACAGCTTGTTTAAAACTAGAAATTTTTAAGTCCAATCTCTAGAAACTCTTACTCCATAGGTTCTGGGGCCCAGAAATAAGCCTCCTGAATTGGTCATCCAACCTCTGCCCACACATTTTCCTTGGGCTTCACTACTTTCTGGAGTAAACCATTCCACTTCACACACCATCAGAAAGTAAACTTGTTCCTAGAATGAATGCCCCAATCTCTTTCGCAGGAATCCTTTTAACTTTTCTAAATATAAGAAGAATTTATTGTTTTTGCTGTTGTTATTGTTTTAATCCTCACTGAGGATATCTTTATTGATTTTGGAGAAAGAAGAAGAGGGAGAGAGGGAGAGGCAGAGAAGGAGAAAAGGAGAGGAGGAAGGGAAGGAGAGAGAGAGAAAGAGAGGGAGACAGAGAAATGTCGATAGGTTGCCTCCCTGTATGCACCCCGATCAAACCCATAACCTTCTCCTGCAGGGGATGACACCCTAACCAAGTGAACCACCCAGCCAGGGCTCATTGTTGCTTTTTATACTGAGCCAAATACTTGCTACTCACTGGCTCTGGTTTTGCCCACTGCTTCCTCCTTAAGGTCAGCCCCGCACATATCCAACCACAGTGGCCATGCCTCCTCCCTCTGCTCTCCCTCATGTGTGGTCCATTCCCCTACATGCCAGCATCCAAGGGACTAGGGGACTGTTCTCCATACCTACGAGTCTCCTCCTCCCTCAGGACTATGGAACACATTTGACGGTTAAGGCCATGCTTATACTGAGTAACATATTTGGGTGAGTTCTGCTCAGAAGATAGACCAGTGGGGTTACAGTCCCCCATTTTTCTATTAATCCAATCTTAAACTGCATTTGATTGGTTTTCACACACCTCTAACGACTGAGACTGCATTTTGAATTAACTAAAATCCCTTTATCTTTTTTTTTTCCCATGCTGGAGCATATCTTCGCTATTTAAATAATTGATATATTGAACCTGAATGCAGGACTCAAAAGTGATTCTCACTGCATTTCATTCTGGATATTAAAAGCAACTAGTTAGTCTAAGATTCTTGTTTTTATCCATTAAGACTTATTTTCAAACAAGGTGTTTTGAATACCAATTCCATCTTCGTTGTTATAAACTATACCTCCCAGCTCTATGTCATTCACCTAACAGATTACTTGAGATATAACATGAACCCAATAAACAAATGTTAAATGATGGAACAAACTGGTAAAGTTAGTGGCTTTCCCATAATCTGATGCTCTTACCTTGCTGACATTTCCATACAAGCTTTCTACAAATTACTTTCCTACAGACAGGCAAGTCTTCAATGTGGGTAATAGTTGCAGCAGAAGATTCTCCAGTCTTAAGAGTTACCAAGCATACACAGAACCGCAAAAAGACAATAATGTTCTGCTTTCAAGTAGAGAGAGCAAACACCTATTCTTAACTTAAACCTCCATTTTGACACAGCCATATATTTGATCAGCAGAGGAGAATTACAGCCTTGCTCTGTATACCGAATTATACAGGCCTTGCCTTTAGCTATTTCTTTCACACTACAAATGGATAACGCTTGAGTGTTGAGGGTACTATACCAATGAACTGTAAAAACTCTCTCCCCTTAATATAGTACCTATCATTCTAAATCTTGTTAAGAAACATTACAACTGACCTACAGGTTGTGTACACTACTCTCTGAGGCCACACCTTTTTCATCAGAAGAAACTAGGAAGATACCTCACCTGGGTTGATGATCTCATCATCCTCACTGAAAGTCACCCGTGAGTTCTTCCTCTTCCTCTTTGGTCTCTGAATATCCAGATTCCCTTCCTCAATGGTGAGAGTGGAAATCCGCTTGTTGTGGGCAGTGTTGAACTCTGTCAGGTTCTAGGCCAAGGTTCACAAGGGAAAGACAGGAGTCAGTACACGGAAAATTTGAAGAATATATTACTACATAAAGGGCAGGGAGGCTTAAGGGGCTAACCCTGACTTCCCCAGGTAGAGAAGATTCTCTTCGGGATTCAGAGAAAACTCATTACTGCCCCTAGATTGCTAATATTAACAAGCCACCTTTGATGGAATGCAAAACACCTTCTTTGACTAGTGGGGCAGTGATATTCAAAAGGTGAAGGCCTTGAGCTGAGAACTGGTTATCTGACAAACATCTTTGAGTTGAGGTTTTGAGGTTTTTTTTTTTTAAAGAAAGGCTATCATGTCTTTATGCTGAGAATTAAAGGAATGTGACTGGAAGGAACGCCAAGAATTGTTTTAAAGTAAGAAAACAGATGAGAAAGGATGACTGACAGCTTCTTTCTTTTAAAACTCATAGGGACATTGCCAGTGCACTTACTATTTGGCATTAATGTTTTGTCATTCCCCACTCCTGTGTATGGTCCCATTTCTATTCATAACCATCCATCCATCTCAATGATTAATTTGGCCTCAGCACTGCTTCCTGCCTCTTCCCAATCCTCTGGACTTACTCCGATCTGCATTGCAGTTTGTGACATTCAAAATATCTTGAGAATGAAGATCCAGACAGGACCTCAGATACTAAATTTAAAAGACAGAAAAGCACAGAAGAAGCCTGGAGGAAAAATGGGCAAGAGTGACCGCCATCAAGACCTCTGGCTACAAGGCTACTTCTTAATAACAAAGTAACTTCTAAATTGTATGATTTCCATAAGTGTTTTTCTTCCTAAGGGCTGGGAAACTGCCTTAATGTACTAGTATAGTAAGTGCATGTGGATGATTAAGGAAATGCTTGCATATGGGCAGCCAGGTCCGTAAGAACAAATGCAGTCTAGTTCTATTTAGAAGATTACTGGGCTATTTGGACAGTATCAAAAAAGCTTCAGTCTAAGTCAGTGCTGTCCAATCAAACTTTATGAATGATGAAAATGTTCTCTATCTTTGCTATTCAACATGGAAGTCACTAGCCACATATGACTACTAAGCACTTGAAATGTGGCTAGTAGCTACCACATTGGACAGTGCAGCTAGGGAAAAATTTAACTCCCAGCCTTGGCTTCCAACATCCAGTGACGGTGCATAAGACAACCATGAGTGTCTACTGGCCGGGGACCTAGTCTCCTTGTTATCCCTTGTCATACATAACAAAATTCACACAACACAGCTCTCCAAAGTGTGTCACTGTTGACCACACTATTCTATCTAAGTGGCAAAGGCCCATTACTGAACTCAAGAAAATCTCCTGCTGCTAAGTCACTGGTATTTTAAGCCATACGGAACAGCTATATACTGCCAACACCAGAGTCCCAAAAGACAAAATAATGACATAGACATGGAATTACATCAAGTTCCGTTTCCTCCTCTGGAAGCCCCAGTAAGCCCTTGAGTTCATCATCCTCTCCACCCATCTTCTCATCTCCTTTCACAGCCGATGGCAATGTCTGAGGCTTCTCACGTAGAGTGTATGCCCTTGTGGATGCACCAAACGAGACTGTGGAATCGATGGGAATTTGCTGAGGCTTGTGAGGTTCCAATCGAATGTGACCCAAGAAAGTGCCGTGTGCTGGGAATAACCAAATCAACATGTAAGAGAGAAAAAAGAAAAAGAAAAAACCAACCTGAGTTGTAGAAGGGAGAGCAGCTCCTCCCAGCTTATCAGTTCTGCTTTTTAAAATGAAAATGACACTGGGTCCACTTTGCATCCCTTGTCATGGGTCACAATGAAAAGGAAAACTCCTTCACTGGGTCTTGAATCTCTTCAGTGGAATTCTTACACATCTTCAGACCTGCTGTTACCCCATATAACAAAAAACCACTGCTTGCTCTCTGCTGCCAGACAGGCTTGGCTCCATTCTGGGTGCAGCAGGATTGGCTCCAACCCAGCAATAACCATGCCACCCAAGGCAGGAGACAGGCATTGCTGTGGTCTGACCTCTCCAGCCCCAAGTCTAAGGATAATAGGCCCTGGTGGCAGTTACGCTTGGGTTTTCCCCAGGACATGAAAGGAGTCTGGCTGAAACAGGTGCAATATGAATGCCAAGGCAAGCCAAAATCCTACTGCAGAGTCTGAGTATTTTTCCATGTGTGCATTCTGCATGTTATAAAATGGAGAGAAAAGATGAGATTTGCAAGTTAAGTACTTGTGAGACAAGGCTCTCCAAAACCATTATATAAGCAGACTGGGGTGGGGGTCCGTGCTGGGGAAGTAGGGAAGAGAACATGGTCACCCCAGTAAATAGTATCCTTTACATTTCACACTATATTTATACATGGGAAAAATAAACAAATTTCACGGCTCTATGTAGTTAAGTCTCAATTGCATTTCTGGGATTACCTTTGGCAAAGCTGAAAATCTTATTAGTTGCAGTATGTTCATAAAATTATAATTGATATTATTACTAGTCAAAGCAGAATATGGCTGAGATAAATAACCCATTATAAAAAATTAAGCTTTGTTCGAAAGTATTTTTTTTAATGTGCTGTACCACTATTCTATTACATTAATGGAGCTAATCACAGATAAATTCTGCATGATTTATCATGGTCCTATAAACATTTGGATTCCCATAGTCCCTAGCTCCTGGGTGTTTTTGTTGTTGTTCTCTATATATACCTATTGCCTCCTCCAGGACAGTCCTCCCCCAAACCTTCTCTCTCCAGTCATCAATTATTTCAGGAAAAAAGGGATATCACAGGAGTCAAGAAGGGTTGATTTAAAAACCAAACGAAAACTTCTTCTTGATGAGTAATAAAACACAATTTTGAAACTGAAGAACCTAAAGAGCATTTTTATACCGCCCCCCAAAAATGTGTGAGAAGGGAATGGATGGGATATCAGTTACTTACTGCTGTTGAGATCTATTAGGAAAACTCTTTTCAGATGCTTGTGGTAGACCAAGGCAGCGTGGACCCGAGAGCAAGACTGGTGGTCAATGGTGAAGTCACACAAATCAGGGTTTCTCCCAAATAAGTAATACTTCTTCTCATCAATAATCAGTTTCTAAATAAACATTATATTAAATATTACTCAAATTGTTTCAGCAGGGTTTAGCAAAAATTCTTCCAACCAGACGATGATGAACAGATAATTCCTTGCCAAGGTGAAAAAAAAATATATCCTGTTGTTCTTCAAGATAAAGAGTTCAGAATAATTTACTAGCATTTGGAGGGATAGATGCAATTAATCTTCCTAACTATAGTGGTCAAATATCTAGAGTTGATAAAACAAACTTGTCCTAGTTCTATTAGATGAAAGTAGCCTGCAAGAGGGGTTGTCTTCTGTCCACTGGAAACTTAAGATTTCACTGGATCTTAATTTTAGGTTAAGCAGGGAAGAAGAACACAAAGCATATCTATAAAGTAATGACTGCTTCTCAGAAAACATGCGTCCAAAGGAAGATTATCAACTGGTCACAAAAGGAAGGGGGTATAAATACCGTCTATATTCTAATCATGTCATCATAGCCCAGAAGTACTTTTGGAATACTTGGAACTGATTTAGCTTTATGAAAAACTCACTATGCTGCCCTTATTTTTCTTTTAATCTTAGATCATTAAACCCTGACACATCCTGGCTGTAGACGACTCTAGATAAATTGTTGTTAACACTTCTTTCAAAAATTTTTTTTTTTATTGATTCTAGAGAGAGGGAGGAAAGGAGAGAGAGAGACAGACAGACAGACAGAGAGACAGACAGACATCAAGAGAGGGAGGAAACAAGAAAGAGACAGACAAACATCAATTTGTTGTTCCACTTATTTATGCATTCATCGGTTGATTCTCTTGTGTGCCCTGACTGGGAATCGAACCTGCAATCTTGGCATATTGGGAGCATGTTCTAACCAACTGAGCTAATTGGTCAGGGCTTCTTCCAGTTTTAAAAGCCTACCATTTGACCATTCTAAAGAAGAACACTTATTGGATATATGATGTTTTTCCTTTAAAGGAAAACCTAACAAGTTCTCATTATGCTCTAGTTCACATTCCACATTATACTCCTAATATCCCTCAGATAAGACAGCACAAAGCTGAGCAGAGGCACGGTCAAGTTAGTACAGTGCCAGGCTAGGAATCAAGAGGCTATATTTCATTCCTGACTATGTCACTGAACTTACAGTGAGTTACTACTCTCCTCTATGCTTTAGTGTTGCCCTTATAAAACCAGAAATATACCTCATGCACTGATACCAGTAACAACTGCTGAGTACCTTTGTGCCACACACTGTGCTATGAGTTTTATGCTGTCATTTCATCCTCACAACCACTCTGTAAGGTGGGTAGGTACTTTTATTACTGTTTTTAGAAATGGAAAAATTGAAGCATAAAGAAATTAACACATTCAAGTTCACACAGCTAGATATTTATAAGCTGAATTAGAAATTCAGACGGAAACCGCCTGACTTCAGAGTCTAAGCTTTTTTAACCATATTATATATTTTCTTCACTCTACCTGCATCAAAAAATGCACCATGTGGCAAGGAACATTTTAGTAAGTGAACAAATACTACAGACACACTCTTAATTTTTCTTTAAACAATCACCCAGCTTCTTTCAAGCTTAGCTTTGAAGCTCAATTAGTTCAAGCTAGTATAGGTAAGTGGGCCACCTCTGGGGAAACCCTGTCCAGCAGAGTGCCCATCCGCTGCTGACAGGGCTTATTCTAGCGCCATACTACGCTACTAGGCAGCACCAAGAATGAACAGCCTGACAGCTCAACAAGACAATCATCCCTATGTCTGCTTAGACCCAAGCTGTAAGACTTGGATTAAATATAAGACATTGCTTCAGAATTGAGAGAGCTCTGGAATTTCAACATCTTAGTCTCTGGGTAACATCTGTGCAGACTGAATCTCACTGCATTTCTCATTCATTTTTATATGCACACAGATTACGCCCTCACAAACTAAAATTTGCTAACCACAGTCCTCATTGGCTAGTCCCAAGGAAATGGTATGTAAGACCACCAGCTCTCGGGTTCTAACATAACACTGACCAAATTGCTATGATTCTGAGATGCCAAAGACATATCAGAGATCTAGGTGTTTAGAGGGGGGAAAAGCATGAAAGGGCCTTCAAATTAAATATATACAATCATTATTAAAGGCATCTCAATTATAAAAACATGACCATGTAGCAGAAAATAGTATGTCATAGAATTAAGATCTGTTAACTCCTGGACAATGTGCTTCTTCTGTCCAGGTAAATGAAATAATGCATTGGTCTTTCGATAGTCACTAAAGCCACAATTTCTTGATTAGCTATGGCTAGTACCATTATTCAGTTATGCCAATGAGTTATAACTCAGAGTATGTCTTTACACACTCAGCTTAAAAGACTCATAGCTTTTGTTTTAATATTGAACTTCTTAAACCCAGCTATCACAACACATCACAAGCCTTTGACACAAGGCTAGGATATAGATAGTTTGGTTAGTATCAAGTGCTGCCTAAATCCTTAAAAATAAGCACATCTCAGATCTATTCCTCTCTAAAAAAGCACAGTGATATCTAAAGATTGTAACTGACAATTGTGTGGCAACTCAGCACACCTAAGAGCAATGAAAGACAGAGAACACTATCAGGTAACGGACAACTGTAATTAGAGGGATGTATGACAATTGATAGCACTTTGAAAATATAAATTATTTCACAAAGGAATATGATATTAAGGCTAGGAGTTTTCTGTTTCTTCCTGTTGCAAACTGAAGATTTACTGAATTCTAGTAACAAAACAGATTCTTATGTCTTCAAAGCTTCATGCTATTTAGCAACAATATTTTATAACTGTGAAACAGTCTACACTTAAAAATTTTTAGACATTTTAGCAAAATTATTTCACTGAATAATCTTGATGTTTTGTAACTTTTAAGACAGGAAAACTCTATACAGATAATGAATGAATTATAAAACTGTGCACCCAAAACATATAATTTTATTAAGTAATATCACCCTAATTATTTTTTACTTATAAATATAAATAATTTACTTATAAAAAAATAAAATAAAATAAAAAGATAGAAGATCCCATAACAAAGGGTTCTAAGTGACTGACTGTGGGCATGATGAATTAATTAAAAAATTCATCACAACTCATTCCTTAATACTTTGTAAAATACCAGAGTATTTCTACAATATCCTGAAATGACAACAATATATTTATAGAACATCATTCAGAAGATCTTACAGATAGCTTTTCAACCGTGGAGTGATGTTTTTACTATATACACTCAAAAGTGGGACCCTGAGCCTAAATCCTATTTGAAAAAGAAAACAAAAAATTGGTCTAAGACATGGAGATTCACAACTCCATGGTCAGAGCAGACTTAATCTCCATTCTTGGTAAATAAATGGTGCCATAAGAATTAAAAAACAAAACAAAACCTTATACAACCTACTAGCTAATCAGAATTTATGTTCTCTTCAAGTTTTATGTGGTGTTCATTCCAGAGACTTGTAAGAAATCTGGAATTCTGCTAAACTTTTTCTCTATAGTACTTATTTCAATTATCGTTGAATTTTTTTTATGTGATGTCTTTTCCACCAGATAATTTGAGGACAGAAACCATGTTTAGTTCACTGCTGTAATCCCTATGCTGAGCACAGTAACTGGAACACAGTAAGCACTCAATGTTTTGAATAAATCAATAAATTTTATCAGCATTCCATTCTCTTCATTAAAGGGCTCAAGCCTGAATATCGTAACAGCAACTTAAAAGTTAAATTTAATCTACATCATTCACTTGTTTCTTCAGGTTATTGCATATTTTGCATCTTTTACACAATTCCATGTACTCATAGAGAGGGAATTCACTAAGTTATAGGGCTTCCAGTTTGATTAGGGCTCATAGGTTCATGATCTATTAAAATCCTTCATTTGGAAGGTGAAAGAAGTCACAAAAAACTGAGTGTCTATGGGAGATAAGAGGTATGAGTGTGTTATATCACCATGTGCTTTTAATAGAAAAAAAATCAGGATGAACAAAAGTAGCACTGCTGGAAAACAAAGCATAGGAGAGGGGGTGGAAAAGTGAGCCACTGGGAAAAAGTCTTCAGTGTGGTTGGGAAAAAAGGGAAGACATGTATTTCCATACCTCAATTAGTTTGTCTCCTTTGACTACATCCAGATGTAATCCAGGCGGGGGCTTACCTGCCCTGAAAAATAAAAGGGAAAAAGCATTTTCAGGATGAGTTCATAAATATCATTTACAATTATTGTCCCATTCAGCACTGCAGCTCTATCAGCCTATAATTAGTTCATGTTCAAGCAGAAATGTCATTTACCGCACTGTTATTACAGCTCCTTTCTAAGTTTGACACTTACTTCCCCAGTGAGTCAATTGTTCTAAAACAGACTTTAGTGGATCTGTATTTAGAGCAGCACCAAAGAAACCTGTATTTTAACACGGGCTATCTATCTCAGAAAGAAAGCAGCATGGAGAGTGCAAGGACTAGAGCTGGGGCAGTCTGGTCACTTGAATTTGAATCTAAGCTTTGCCACTAACACTAATACCATATAAAGGTTGAATAAATCAGGTGGTGTGTTGAGCTGATCAAGATCAATCTCATCACAGAATAAGCAGAGCTCTGAGACCAAATCAGAGGTACATAATTAGGGAATTCAGGCAACCCAATACCATGTCCATGAAACCAGGTAACAATAAATACAAGAGCTGCTTCTTACCCTTAAACAGGTCATGCTATAATGGCTTTTTTAAGGGAACTTTTCTCTACATTCCTATAACCACAGCATTCAAGGAGGATACACAGGTCAAAGCATCTAGCAAAGTTCCTGGTGCTTAACAGACTGAGGAGATGCTAGGTCATCTGTCTACTGGATAAGTTTACTGCCCTAGTCCAACTTCTGAAATCCAAGCAGCAGGCAACCAAAACTGACACAAAATTTGTAGACTGAAGCAACTGGCTGTTACAAAAATGCAAAGAGACCCAGAAAACAGCCACATATTCACTTGCATCCTGTGCTCCTTTGAAGTTTGTCCTTACATTTGCTTTCAAAAAATGTATCTGTCTATCTAATAGAAGAGGCAACATAGTCATCTCACAATTCTGCCCTAACTCCTCTATGGCAGTTGCTGAAAGGACAGTGCATTGCACAAAGGCCCATTTTGTCTGCGGAACAGGAAAAGCAATGTTACATCCAAAATACGCTTTCTGAACCCCTACTATGTGCCTGGCTAAGGCCTAGGAGCTGGGAACATAAAGATGCATTATACAGCCCTTGCCCTTGAAGATCGCAACATAACAGGAGGCAAAGAATAACATATAAACAATACCCTGTGGTGAATTGCAGCAGAAATAGCTCTAACTCAGATGGGTCTTCTTGCAAGGCAATTCATAATTATTCATCTTGTACTCTGCTCAAAGACTAAATGAAATTATTCCATTATTCCCAAGAACTGGAGAAAGGATGGGTTCCTTCCAACAATTGCTGATGCCTACTTATGCCCGGCTTCGCGCTGGTCCCTGAGCATACAGGGTAGATCAGAGCCATCCCTGCCCTCAGGGAGCTCCCAGTTTGCGAGAGACAAACAGGTACCGGGCCGGGGATGCAACACAACGGAGGGATACGGGGCTCTGAGGTTGGGCTCAGGCCGGGAAGCTAGCTCGTGCGCGTTCGGGACAGAGAGCAGCGGGGCAGGTTGGGTGCCCCGCAAGAGCACCAGGCATTCAGTCAGGAGTTGAAGTAAGTTCAGGGCTACGGCCCCGAAGCGCCCCGGCAAACGGCTCGTTGCCGGAAGGGCTGCGTAAGTGAGCGCCTCAGAATCTCCCAACTCTGGGTTTCCTCAGTGCCTGGGCCCGGGCTCCCGGTTCCTCCACACGCCGTCCGGCCCGACAAACTGTTCTGCCTCATCAGTCCCAAGGTATCTGAACCATTCGGCTCGCTGCGAGAAATGAGCTGCCCAGCCAGTTCCGGCCAAGCCAGGCCAGGCCAGTCCACCCCTGGTCGCCCCGCCACTCACCACGTCGGGCAGTCGAACAGCGGGAGGCTGGAGCCAGAGTTCGCGGCTGCCGCCATCTTGCGTCTCCCCCTCCCATTTGGCGGGCTCGAAGCACGCCGGGAAACTGGAAGACTTAGAGGGGAGAGGCGGCGTCCCAGTATCCTGTGCGTACGCGCGAGCGCGCAGGCGCGCGCGCGCACGCACAGGGCGCTTGTAGTGGAGGTGGAGATAGGGAAGTAATTTTGAGGGGTTTCTAAGTGTTTGAGACTGTTGGCTTTCTTTGGAAGAGTCTCCGAAGACTAAGGCTTTCCGTAGCTGGGAGGTGTCTAAGGAAAAGGTGCTTGTAAGGAGGGATGTCGGTCTCCCCATACGTCCTCTTGCAAACACCCTGCTGAGCTCTTAAGTCTCGCATCTTCATCCTTGCACCCCAACCTAGAGAGGAGCTAGCGCGCAGAGCTCAGAGATTGCAGTGATAACTCATTCTGTCTCTCTTCCGGCCCTTCTCTGCAGAGCTGCAGGCTCACTTCCCCTTTGTAATCCAAATCTTGGCCTTCTGGGTTTATGTAAATTACATGGGAATCTGTTTTAGGGGGTCACGTATTTTGCCGTGTACAATGCGCTCCTGTGTATAATGTGCATCCACGGTCTTGGCCCCAAGTTGAAAAAAAATTTCATTTTAATATTTTAACTCATTTATTTTTAGATACTTGTTTTTTTGTATTACGAAGGAATTTTAGCAGGCATTTTTTTTTAACATTTTATTGTAACAAATAATTAAAAAACACAAGCACAGATACAAAGTATTTCAGGTACTACCCATGTGTAATGCATATCCTTATTTTTCCCTCAAAAATTTGGGCAAAAAAGTGCACATTATACACGGTGAAATAGTCTGTTAGTGAAATAAAGTCTGGACAAGCTGGAGCCAGGAACGATCCGACCAGAAGGCAGGCGTCCAAATCTTCAGTAGTAATCAAACTGTGGTCCCTTTGGATTGTTAAATTTTGGTTATGGTGACTAAATCATGAAAGGAAACGCTATTCAGGCCTGCCCTGGGCCAACAGCTAGTTGAGAGACCACCAGCAGGGCCTCTGGTTATAATGGCTTTGTCTATTGGGTGCTTACTTCTTTGAGCAAGTATGTATTTTATATGAACCATCTCATTTAATCCTCACAACACTTTTGAGATAGGTATTATGACAGCTGAGCAGAGGTTCAGAGAGATTGAGTTGCCCAGCCTCGCCCTAGAATGAGGGGTAAGTGGGATTCAAACCTAAGTCTGTATGATGCCAAAGGCCATGCTCTTTAATCACGATTGTCTCGCACAATTAGATGTTGATACGATCATATTATCATGTAACTGATGCCCAACACTTCACTTTTATAGAAAGCATGGGTTATCTGACCTGTTTTTTTTGTTTTTTGTTTTTTTTAAAGAAACTAATTGAAAATTGTTCACCCAAGAAGAGTCACTGCACATGATCAGGAGTTCCTTCTTTTCTTGATTCCCTGCTACTGGTCCTCTGGATTTTAAATTGAACATCAACCTGTTCGATAGACTTTATCCTAGCCCTGGCTGGTGTGGCTCAGTGGCTAGAGGGCTGGCCTGTGAACCAAAGGGTCACCTGTTCAATTCCTAGTCAGGGAACATGCCTGGGTTGTGGGACAGGTCCCCAGTAGGGGCGCAAGAGAGGCAACCACACATTGATGTTTCTCTCCCTCTCTTTCTCCCTCCCTTCCCATCTAAAAAATTAAAAAAAAAAAAAAAAGATTTTGTCCTTAATGACAGGGATCAAAATTTATTTACAACATAGTATTAACTTGGATTTTAAAATTATCAACTCTTGGGCAGGTAGGAGAATCACTTCTGGCTTTCAAAAGCACAGTAAACTCATCCAGCAAGGATATTAACTGATCAGATGACTTATCAAATATCCTCCTTTCCAGTCTTGTGATTCTAAAGATTAGGCTGATCAGGAAAATACAAATTCTAAAGCTGGTTTCAAGTAAACAGGTTTTGACTTTCCTTTTGAGCGCAAGGACATGATTCTTGAGAAGGAATTAAAGTAGTCTCAAAAGCAGTTTGAGTGTAACAGAAAAGAATAAGTTTCTTTTATTTACAAAGGTTGTGCAGGCCTTTGAGGTTCTATGTTCCTTTCAGGCATGAGGCACTGTTGAAGCCATTTCTAGCTATGAGTGACCTGGTAACATCTATGTCAACCTTGACTTTTAATTTAACTTCCCTGTGTGGTCCATTATTTAATCCCTTCTATTGCTGACTATACACCCAAGAAATCTAAAGTTGTATTTTTACCCTTGTAATTCTTTACTCCTTGGTCATGTTCCCTGCTTTCAGCACAGCTGATATTCACACTGGCTTGTGATGTGAAGGCATCTTACACTTACCTAAGCCTTATAAAGCGAGCAGCTCATTGATTGGGCACCAATGATGTCTGCATAGATCAGCAAACTGGAGGGCAGCAGTCTAGACCCTTAACCTTTGGATGTGGAAAGGCTGATTGGCTAGCTGCTTTTGGATTTTGGTAACTCAACAAAGACAGATTAATTTCTTAAACATTGAGACTTCCTTAGAATAGAATCTAAAACATTAGGAGCATATTGATGTCAAAAAAACTTTCTCTTTTTTCTTAAATTTTATTTATTTTTAGAGAGGGGGAAAAGTGAGGGACATATTGACGTGAGAAACATCAATAGGTTTCCTACTATATATGCCCCGACAAGGCACTGAACGCCCAACCAACTGAGCCACATGGGTCAGGGCCAGAAAACTTTCTTAAAAACAAAGTAATCAGCCTTGGCTGGTGTGGCTCAGTGGACTGAGTGCTGGCCTGCAGATAAAGAGGTTGCAGGTTCGATCCCCGGTCAGGGCACATTGCCTGGGTTGCAGGCCAGGTCAATTGGGGGTGTGTGAGAGGTAACTGATCCATGTTTCTCTCACACAGTGACGTTTCTCTCCCTCTCTTTCCCCTCTCGAAAAAATATATTTCTGCAGAAGTGATCAAATGGAGACACAAAAAAGAACTGTGTATATAGATAGTACAAGCAGGAGGCTTCATTTATCTTGGTGGTTAATGAAAAGTTCACAAGGTACTAACAAAAGGACATTCATGAAAAATTGGGAAGAAACTGCCACTACTCCAGATTTTTAGAGAAATCTTCATGAAAGAGGTGGTGAGTAGGACAGTTTGTATCAGTGATTCGTGGAGACAGTGTCTAGTGTCAAAGGGTGTGGTTTTTAAAAAAGATTTTATTTACTTATTTATTGAGGAGGAGAAAGAGGAGAGAACATCAATGTGTTTGCCCCTCAAGTGCCCTCCACTGGAGACCTGGGCTGCAACCCAGGCACGTGCCCTGACTGGGAATCAAAGAGGCAACCCTTTGGTTCACAGACTGGCACTCAAACCACTGAGCCACACCAGCCAGGGCAAAAGGTGTGGTTTTGAAGTCTGAGTCACTTGAGATCAAATCCTGGCTCCATCATTCCTAAACTGTCTGCCTATGAGCAGGTTACTTACTATGTCTCATTTTTCTCATCTATAAAAAGGGGACAAGAAAAATTTATCTCCAAAATGGTTTTATGGGTATGAGATATTAAACACAAAACATAAAACATTTAGCACAGTAAATTGCTGGTAGCAAGAGCTCAAATATTACCCTACAAATAACCATTCACATGTAGAGCAATTCCTGAAGCCTTTCAATTTATGTAGCAGACTGCCATTCCTGGCCTCAACTGCTTCAGTTATAGTGATGGGGATAATCTAAAAGAGCGGTTCAGAAGTTAGAAATGTCATGGACCAGGAAAAAATGTATAGGAATGTCGATTTTTAATTTGCCAACTAAATACGTTTAAAAAATGAAGACTGCCAGAGTGCACTTTCCCTTTCCACCAAAGACTGAAGACTATGCCTTCCAGACTGAGCTGGAACGCAGAAGACATCTTGCCAAAGTGGAGTGGAGCAGACCGGGAGCAGACTGGCGCCAAGCACAGCAGGCCGTCGTGGAGCAGAACGGAAGTGGCTGGAGAGGGCCTGGCCCCAGAGTTATTCCACAGCAGTACTGTTTTCAGAGCCGTGCTATATTGCAACTGAGCTGTTTTGCACTGAACAAAGTTTCCTTCTTTACCATATGCCCCCCACCCCCCCAAAAAATAAAAAATAAAAATGAAGACTGCCATCTAACATCACCACCTTTTCATTTTTATAATCTTGAAATACCCTTGTTTTATTTTTTTATTTTTTTTAATTTATTTACTTTTTAAATACATTTGTCTCTGCCTTCCCCCCACCTTGAAATACCCTTGTTTTAAAAAGTGGAAAGATCATTAGCTCAGCCTCAAAGATGGTACTTTAAAAAGCCTACTATATCATTTTTCTCATGTCTCTATGGACTGGTAAAAGCTGGGTCCTTAATCACAGTTCAACATTAAAAACTCTATTATTTCAAGTTTCTCTTTAAAAATTAACTGCTACATTGTCAATCAAATTTCATTTTGGGTAAGTGTTTAAAATGAACTATTCACTTGGCTTAAAAGTAGGATCAGAGGCTGGGAATCAAAACCTTTTTAACTATTTCCTGGTTATATGGAGATTTCAAAGTAGTTGTGTTTCATAACACTGGAAGGCAATACTGAAAAATCTTCGAAACCTAGAGATACCAGGAAACAGGACAGTTTGAAAATTGAACTGGGTTCTAGTCTGAATTTAGTGATCAAAAACAAAAGCCTCATCCCCATGACTGAGGACAGCCTCTGAACAGAAGAAAGACAAAACTGAATGAAGAACGCTCGGGGTGTTTTACTTTGCACTGACTGATAATTTCATTTTGATATTTTTGCCCAATAGTAAGGCAGTGTATCACCACCCCTTAGCAAAACAAGGCAAATCTATCCTGGAAACATCAGCCTAGCAGCTAGCAAGTTCTTGTTCTGGAACATTCCCAGAGAAAGTAGCCAGCCTGCCATTTCTACTTTACCATATACAGTACTACAGTTTTAATTTACTTCATCTGTCCAGCACTTCTAGAGCATTCCATAAAGGAAGGAGAAAAGAGGAAAAGGAAAGGAATACAGAAGCAAACAGAATTTATATGTTCAGACCAAACCCCTGTGGTCCTTATAATCAGAGAATTTCACAGCTAGGAGAGAGCTGTTGGTAAAACTTGGGACCTAGGGGTTAAATGACTTGTCCAAATACCTACAGCAAGTTAATGGCAGAGCTAAGATTCTCTAGGCTCAAGTCTAGTTTTTGACCTCCAATCCAATGGTTCTCAACCATGGCTGTACATGAGAATTAGCTGGGCCTTTGAAAAGTCCCTATGCCTAGGTTATATTCCAAACTAACTCAATCAGAATCTTGTGACAGGAGAACCCAGCTATCAGTAATTTTCTAGTTTCTAATGTGAAGCCACGGTCAAGAACCATTGTTAGTGATGTTCTTGACAATGATGGTCAAGAACATCATTATATGGACCATGGTGCTCAAATGATGAACAAATCACAGATAAGGATTCTATGAACAGGTTTTTAGGACCATCTAGCCTCTTTGAAACGGCCACAAATTCCAGGCCATTCAAATTCTAGGCCAAGTTCATATTTGCAACCTATGGCCACTATTACCATCACGACTGGATTCAGATTATAGAACTGAACTACAGTGGCTTCATTTTACCCAAACTGCAACAGTTTTTCACCGCCAAGACTTTTTCTTGCCTGGAATGTTACAAATGATGTATCTAAATCCACCTATAATTTGGAGCTGAAGGGGCACTGATCACAGAACCAAGAAATCAGCTCTGAAGTTGCTGCTTGGGTCACTGTGACACCCCAATAGCTCCATCCTGTTTATCAAGGAAGGGACTGCAGCAGCGCCTATTCCACCCCGAAACCAATCCTCCCCTGATCTCCAGTCTTCTTGCAGGTTCCAATTTTTCTAAAGGACAGTGCATTACCTAATATCTACTGCATTAGGATGTTAACTCATAAAAACTTACTACAAAAGTTTTTAAAATGTTTATTTGTATTAAGTGGGTAGAATGGTGCAAGAGTGCAAAAAAAAACTTATGCATTTGGGCCCTTGTTTCCCTACTGTTCACATTAGTAAAAGAAGGTTAAGTAACATTAAAGGGAATGGAAGAAATTAATATAAATATATCCAGGGTAGTCAAATCCTCTAATTCACTTAAGGACGAACTGAAATTGTTGGCCCAATTCACATTTATGTGAGAGCTTAAAGAAATCACATTCCCTTTAACTGTTCTAAACCCGTGAAAAAGGGAAGTGAACAATATTTATATTACAAGACAACAATCTTTTATTGAAACTTTTTTTTTGTTGTTTAAAACTATGGGAGATTAATTTCTTGTTCATAAATTAAGTCTAACTTTACTACTCCAAACCAGTATTATTTACAAAAATGAACCTTTTCTTTGCTTTATCGCTAGGTTCACAGCACTAAATTTTAAACCAACTTCAGTCTAGCTTTTAAAATCTTCCTGCCATCAAATGCCCAGCAACCCTTATAGGGCAGGGTGGTATTTTGACCGCAACATTCATCATTCACCAGAAATGCAGAACCACAACTGAACAACAACAACAAAAGTATTAAATCATTCCAAACAATTCCTATTGACTTTCCAAAAGCATGCTTTGTCTAATTATCCCTTTCTATACAGGCAGGTGGTAGAGGGACACCTTGGAGTATAGTAATGTTAATTAAATTAATCTCTTCAAAAAATGAACATGATGGTTTAGTGTGTATATGGATAAACTGCTGTGGATGACACTAGTAGACAATAAAGTAAACTTTAAACCCAGATTAACAAGTACCTCAACAACTGCAAGCTCAAATAGATACTTCTCATTTAATCTGGACCACATGTGCAATTATTTACTTTCTACTTAAATACACTGCCAAAATCTTTCAAAGCAGACAGAGAATAGGCTTCTTAAAAATTCAACTTAAAATGTTAAATAATAAAAATTGCTGGCTTATTATACAGTTTCTGACAAATTCCAATATGCTAGGTGCCAGAAAGTAATTCTATCTCAGTTGCTAGTAAAAAGGTAAATCTTGTATACACATAAAAAGACAATTTACAAGTCTGTAGTGTCACCTGTTAAAACAAGAATATCTAGAATGGAGTTTTCAGTAAACATTCGGGATAAAGAGCAATTGGAATAGAAGAGAAAGCAAAATACACACAAATTAATTCCTAATTTGAGAAATCAATAAAATGTATACATAAACTGATAAATACTGCCTCTATAGGTCACTAATTCCAAGGACTGGTTAGTAGTTTCTAATTAAATTATTATAAGACGTTCTGATATATGCTCTCTTCTTGTGATCAGTTTGTTCTGGAAGACTCCAGCAAGCACTTGCCCTTGAAAACAGTTCAGTGGGAGAAACTGAGGCAATCATTTTCCATAAACTAGCCACATAATAAGTGCGAAGACAGCAGCAATCACTGACAGGACAAGCACCAGGATACAGATCTTCTTGCGAGATTTTTTCTGAGAAGAGAAATTTGTATGGAAGATATTCATGAAACAAGTGAAGTTTTCTATTCCAACAGTGCTTCATAAATCTGCCTCCTAGTAATTCAAAATTAACTCTATCCATGAATGAATATGCAGAGACCCGCCCAATATCTTAACAGTTATCAGAGCTAGGCAGGAGTGCAAGTTTTAATTCCAGGCTCCCAAAATACAATATAGCTAAGCATTATTTGCAATAAAATAAGTTAATGTGCATGTGTATATTAATAAAGGTTTTATACCTATTATAAGATTTTATGTTCATTATAAAAAATACAGGCAGAAAGAAAATAATCACCCACAGATAAAGTTGTTGACATTTTGATTATGTTTTCTCCTGATATTTTATCTATACAAATTGTTATTTGATATAATTGGGATCATACTGTATGATGTTTGATGTTTTTCTCACTTAACATTTTAGCATAAAAATTTTGTTATTATAAACTAACTCTTCATAAACATCTCTTTCAATTCCCACATAATATAACATTGAGTAAACACAGATAATTTACTTAATTGTTCCTTTGCTGCTGGATACTAAAGTCATCTCTCAGTTTTTAAAAGGAGAAACATTGTTATTAAATACAAATTTAAGAACATTCCCAGGTAAAATTTAGCTATCCTAGGAACAAGAAAAATGACTGGAATTCTATTTACTTCTAAAAAACCATGTAACATCACATTGAGAAATGAAAAGAACCTCATTCACACTATTTGTACACAGATAAAGAGCTAGGTAAGTCATAAAACCAGTTTCAAATAATATGTAAAAGAATGTCACTTTACAGAAAGTAAAACAATTAACCCCTATTTATTCATAGATTAAAAAAAACCCAAAATGATAAGTCCCTATTCACAAATAAATATCCATCCTCTAAGGACAATGGCAACAGAAAGTATCTACAAAGTCCTACTTCGTATCAATTGTTATCCTAACTGAAACAAAGTTCAACTGTTTAGGATATAAAATTAGCCTTAAACCAGATTTATGTATCATGCTAGTTTATGGGGTTAGCTCTGTAGCTAAGAGGCTTTCATATAAGTTTGTTCAAGGTTTGATGTCTTTCTGTAGATCTTTGCAAAGGAAAATACTAAAAATGGAACTGGGACTACAATTATGTCTTCTTGCCTCCAACTGAAGCCCAAGCAATGGGCTGCAACGGTTCTTAATGTGTCAGTGTATCCCAGTGATTTTCAACCAGTGGCACAATGTTTAAAACATGCAACACCTGACTATTTAGTCAGGGGCACTGGCCTCTTTTCCCTTAGACTGTCAAAAAAAAAAGAAAAAAGAAAGAAAGAAAGAAAAAAAAAAAGACAACATGACAATAGCCAGTGTGAATAAATCAAAATTATACCATATTTTTGACAGATAAGCAACAAATATAAATTTTTTGGTGTGCTGCAAAATCTTAGTGATTAGTTTATATATGCCATGAGATGAAAAAAGTTGAAAATCGCTAGTATATTCTGATGGCCCATAAAGTCAGTAACACAAAGCGACTTTCTCTGGTACCTTCTTTTACCTGATAGTAGGCAGCTCGCTGTAACTGGTCAGTGGCTCTTTCCACATGCACCTCTGAGCTTTCCACATTGGCTTCTATGCTGTCTGCAAAAAAGAAGGGCAGTAGATGTTCTACCAAACTCAGATGTTTCAAGACTGCAAATTGAACAAACTTCTTATCTTATGGGTCCTGGTTTCACCACCACCATTTCAACTATTTAGCTATGAAATCAAAAGTTACTAACCCTATAAGAAACAGCCCTCTTCTTTGGAAATAAACAGTGACATGTTAACAGGGAAGGGTTATGAAGTATGCGGCTTACCCAAAAATGGTTCAGAAAAAATTCTAACATTTCCTCTATTAAAATTAGAGAGACAGTTAACCTGTTAATAGCCATGGACCAGCTCTGACAAAAGACTGCTCACATTCAGGTATATCTGTTGGAATTTAGTATTAATTTCCAGATGGCTATTTCTATAATTATCTAAAAGAGAGAATAGCCAGGTGCCATAGTACCCCAGAAGCCTCAGCTTCTTGTTTACATATGAACATTCCAACCTGCTGCCCCCAGCTAATTCACAGGAGTGGGCACTTTTTACTTGGGGATTCCACAGCACCTATCCCAGAACTGACCCTGCTTCACCTTCTCCCATCCCCTTTGTCTACAGCTAATGTAATCCTTTCAGAAAGGCTTACATCTTTTTCCCCACTATCTGTTATGTACAAACACTGGCAAAACTCCAGGACGATGAACATGTTGCCTTCCCTTCCTCGCCATGCTGCTGGTGGTTTAGACTCCAGGTCCCAAGACTGGTCTTCTTTTTTTGCTAGCAATGGCCTAATAAGTCCTTTTCTTTTAAAAAACACTTTCAGCCATGGAAGTTAAAATTTTTTGCTTAACACATTATATATATATACCTTATACATATATAATGTGTTAAGCTATATATATACACACATACAGAAAGAATGAGAGCATATAAAAAGCAAATGAGGTAGAATGTTAACAAGAGGTAAATCTGGGTAAAGATTATAAAGGAGTTCCTTGTAGTATTTTTATTTTTGCAACTTTTTATGAACTTGAAATTATTTCCAAGTAGGAAGCTTAAAAAAGGATTTACTAATCCCATAATTGTGAAAATTTCTAGAAATAAAAGCTGGGAAGCTGACAGCTATTTCCCTAAAGAGCCAAAGTAAATGGAGCTGACTATTCTTTGAGGTCTTACTTTGACTTCTATATTTGAGGACCTAAGAAAAATGCTATGAAACTGAACTTAATAATATTTAAATGGCACTCCTAAATTCCTAAGACACACTTTATTGACTTCTTTCCACACAAATACTACTGACTCACCTTTAGTTAAAGATATTAATAATACATACCGATCAGATCGCCTTGGTCATGGATCATCATAGCTAAATCCTTAAATATCTGATTGACATCCAAAATGTCAGCCTAAGGGACACAAAAAACAATTAACTAACATTAAGCAACATTTTAGAGATTTATTTCCTTTACTTAATTAAAGTTAGTAACATAGCACATGTGTTTTTAAGGCTAAATCATATACAAAGTTCAATAAGCACTTCGTAGTGTTAGCTACTATTAACTACTACTTAACTGGTCCTCCTGACACCCCAGTGAGACATGTATTATCTCCATTCTACAGAAGAGAAAATTGGGCTCAGAGAGGTTTAATAACTTATCCCAAGGTCTCACAGCTAGCAAGTGGCCAGGCTGAGAATTAAAAGTTCATGATGTTTTACTTACGTTACTATGCCTCCTTTATATTTAAATTAATCATTTAGTAGCTCTACGAAGTAAGTATCTTTGAAGATAATGAAGCTCAAAGAGGTTATGTAACTTGTCCAGTCACATAGTCTGTCAGTGAGAAAACTAAACATCACAGCTAGGACTGTATCTCTAAATCCCATGCTTTTTCTTTTTTTTTTTTTTTAAACTTTAAAGACACTTGCCATACTTGGGACAGTCTGCTAGTTGATGTGGATACAAAAGGGCTTAAGAGCTAACTGGGAATTGAGGGGATTAACACACAACAATATAAATAAGAAGGGCTTTTTATGGGAAATGACTAATAAAATGGTGTAGAGGAGAAAGACTTTGCAGAAGAGGTAGGACTTGAGTTGTGCCTTAAAGCTAAAGAGAAGCCATATAAACAGAAAAGAAACCGAGATGTTAGAGCAAATACGCCCAGCTTGGCTAAAACATAGATATGATATTGTGATTTATAATAAGTATGTATTTGGTCTTCATCCCAGTACCACCACAGAGCTCCTAAAAACCCTTGGAATATCCTAAGTGATAAAAGATAAAAGTGGTTTTTTTTTGTTATTTATTCATAACAAGGCCCATGTAACACCCCAGGGTTTATTCTAAAGACTTGACTTTTGAGGCTCTGACCGGTGTGCTCAGTGGGTTGGGTATCATCTAGCAAACACCCAAAAGGTTCAATGCCCGAACCGGGCACAGGCCTGGGTTGTGGGCCAGGTCATTGGTTGGGGGCATGCGAGAGGCAACCAATCAATATTTCTTTCGCCCATCAATGTTTCTCTCCCTCTCTTTCTCCCTCCCTTTCCCTCTCTCTAAAAATAAATAAAATCTTAAAAAAAAAAAAAAGATTCTAGATAGCCCCTAAGGACAGGGGGACAGTTGCCAGGGGAACCAATCTTGTGATTAGATGGTTGGAATTTTCAGCCTGAGTCTGGGGAGAGGAGGGGTACTAGAGGTTGACTCAATCTCCAGTGGCCAGTAATTTAATCAATCAAGCCCACAAAATGAAGCCTCCACAAAAATCCTAAACAGGCTCTGAGGGTTCTGGGTTGCTGAACACATGGAGGTCCTGGGAGAACGGCACAACTGGAGAGGGCCCGGAAGCGCCGCATCCCTTCCCACATGCCCTGTCCTAGCATCTCTTCCATTCGTCTGTTCCTGAGTTTCATCCTTCTACAATAAACCAGTAATCCAGTAAGTAAGTTGTTTTCCTCACTTCTGTGAGCCAGCGCTTTGGGAACCTCCAGTTTAGAGCCTGTCAGTCAGAAACACAGGTGACAATTGGGACTTGCCAATGGCATGTGAAGTGTGGGCCTGAACTCAACCTGAGGGAGCTGAAGCTAACAATAGTGTCAGAATTGAGTTAAACTGTAGGATACCCAGCTCGTGTGGCAAAATTGCTTGATGTGAGGGAAAAACTCACACATTTGGTGGCCGGAAATGTCAGGAGTGTAGTGTGAGAGTACAGGAGACACACAGGAGTATGTTGTTTTTCTATTAGAATAGGGTTTGCATGTTAGACATAGGAAATAAATGGACATGAAAATCAAGCCTTATTAAGGAATTTGGAATTAACTCTGTTAATTGTGAATTGCCCACTACATTCCTGACATCCACTAAGTTACGTTGCTTACCTTAGCTCACTGTGTCTCACTCCCTGCTATACCAGTATTTCTAATGTTAAACAACCAAGTCGATGATTAGTAGCAGTAGGTAAAAAAAAGAGAGATGCAATATCTTTGAAGGAAATTAAATAATCAAACTTGAGGATGAACTGTCTCATTTAAGACCAGATACTGAATGGGATTCAGGGCAGTGGGTCTCAACCCTGACTGTATATTATCATTTGGAAAATTAAAAAAACAAATAAACAAACAAAAAACCCCATGCCCAGGGCCTCTTGTGGATATTTGCCCATTTTTAACCTACAAAAGATAGGAGGTTCACACAGTTCAAGCTAATAATTGGTGTGTAGGGGAGGAGAGCTGGTGAATTAAAAAAGAACTTGTCCAAGTGATTCTAATACGCTGTCAGGGTTCAGAACTATTGCCACAGGCGAAGGTCAAGGAGAAGTGCAAAGCCTCTCCTCTCTACAACCTTCCTTCCCCTGCTACCCCCCATCCCCAGGGATGGCAGTCTTCTGCCTCCATGGAGGTGGAAACTACTCAGGTAAGAAAGGCCCTGATACCTCTCTCTCAACCCCCACCTCAAAAATTGTTCCAATTTCTCTGACTCACTGAAGTGATATCCACAATTTAGGATTAGACTTTGGGATGCACAAAAATGGAGCAAATCTTTTGGCCTACTTTTATTCTGGGCTATTCAGACTAAGCAAAGGGGCTCCCTGTAGAGCCCTACCTATCCTAGGGACTGGCATTGAGGTTTGGGGATAAAGTCTTAATGAGCAATAAAATGGTTGTTTGCCTTGCTCTGTTCCCATGTATATTCTTATGGAGACCACAAAAGATAACGGTGACTGAGAAAACGGTTTGGGTACTCTTGGGTACCATGGCCAATGATCATCGTAAGAGTAGTTCAAATTCACCACTGATTACATTGAAACATAATATCCAAATCACACAGTGACTCATTTCATGTTTTTTCACAATGACTGAGAGAAAATCCGAGTGGATTATATGGTGCAGACATATTGAGTCAAACAAAAAACATGACGTCTTTCTCACCTCCAGCTGCCGAATTGCTGTTTCCCTCTCTTTAATAAGTTCCAGATCCTGTTCGGTGATGGCCACTTCATCCTCTTGGCTCTGCATCTGGTTCCATTCCTCATGGCTAAAGGGAGACAAGCACCCTAGTTCACTACTCCTCTCAAAGGTGTACATGAGACATCTACAACATCTCTACTGCCAGAAGAGCCTATCCAAGGACAAATCCCCTGGCATCAAGCAACAAAGTCCCTGCAGGCTGCATTCTTCATATCCAGAGGCCAAGTGCTGATAACACCAAGAAAACAAACTCCCAGCTTTCATGGGCAAGGCTGAGATGAAGTAGGATTATGAGGGATGACACTCTTTGCTGCTTCCATTTAGGGGTACGCTCTGCAATCTTGCTAGGGCTCGCTAGACAAAGAAAGTAGGCAGAGATCTGAAGTCAGTGAAGTATACTGGCCCATTCTCCTCCAGGGCACTCTCAGAGTGCAAGCTGTGCTGCTATCCTGGGTGCTAAATGGAAGAAGAGCAGGCTAAATGACCTGGCAGTCCAACAGAAAGACATCTCCTGGTTTTCAGAAATCTTAACATTATACTTTGGATTAAATACCTCCTAACAGAACACCAAAGTAAAAAGTTAGTGAAATGTCGTAACTCTTCAGGTATGTCATTTAGAAGAAAGGAATGGGATACATTATGCTAGACATGAAATACTCCAGAAATACAGTATTATAAGCATTTTTTTCCAACAGTATGCATAAATCATATGTCATCTTGACATTGTTTTTAATATTTCCACACTGGCTGCTGTGGCTCAGTGGATTGAGCGCCGGCCTGTGAACCAAAAGGTCGCGGTTCAATTCCCAGTCAGGGCACATGCCTGGGTTGCAGGCCAGGGCCCCGGTGTGGGGTATGCCAGAGGCAACGACACAATGATGTTTCTCTCCCTCTCTTTCTCCCTCCCTTCCCCTCTGTCTAGAAATGAAGAAATAAAATCTTTTTAAAAATATATTCCTGTCATGTGCTGGAGATAGAAAGCCGAATAGTACAGCACCCCTGGGAAGTGTTCATAACAGATTCTGTGACTTTAAACAAAATGACATATATAGGCTAACTGATATACAAGAATTAGGTTCCTATGGGGCATCCAGTAAACATTATAAGGGAATGGCATTGAACAAAATGGTGTTATTCAAGGACCTACTACAGTTGATACAATTTGAAGAAGTTAAGAAAAGAGACATTTTTCAGATTCAAACTACTTTCTCTTTTAATACTCCTAGAAGAATGAGTTTCCTACATTTTAGAGATGAGTAAACAAATACCCACTAACATTGAAGAATTAGAGATAAAATGATAAATCTAAATTAGAGATAAAATGGTTTAGACCTCCTAGCCTGTAGATTTGTGGCTTAATACTTATTCCTAGTGTGCCAGCCTCTCTCCCCAACACAAAGACATCAGGGGATTCCTGGAATTTTTTATTCACCTTGAAATTATTCCTTACATAATTCAAAAACTTTGGAAAAACCCATGGTTTTGATGTTTTTGTTTTATTTGGTAGATTATAAATTACCCATACCAGGTCTCCTCTTATTTTTTTCGTTCTTTTCCCTCATTGATTTTTAAAATTAAAAGTATAAAGAATAGAATCCCATCTCAACTAGCCAGCAGGTTGTCTGAATAATTCCTTTACCTGTCAAACGAGACGAGCTGCTCCTCTCTTTGCCTCTCTTCTGCCTAGAAAGCAGAGGACATTACTGCTGCTGTTATCCAGAAACATGTCACAGACACACAGACAATAGCTTCCTTTAGCTAGAGTGTAAAGAAGCAACTCCCCTTGGCTCCAACAGGACCTATAGAAAGGCACAGGGCTCTGGCAATCTGTTTTGACCAGGAAATGGGTGAGAAAGCAAATCTGCATTCCAGTTCAGGCTCAGACAGGAACTACACTAAACAGGATGGACAGGAGCCCTGGAGGGTGTGGCTCAATGGACTGAGTGCCAGCCTGAGAACCAAAGGTTGCCAGTTTTATTCCCAGTCCGGGCACATGCCTGGGTTGTGGGCCAGGTCCCCACTAGGGGGCATGCAAGAGGCAACCACACACTAATGTTTCTCCATCTCCCTCCCTTCCCTCTCTCGAAAAATAACGAAATTTTTTAAAAAATTAAAAAAAAAAACCCAGGATGGAGAAGATATGGGCAAAAGAGAGGATTAAAAAGTGATAATGTCCCTGGATGGTGTGTCTCAGTTGGTTGGGCGTTGTCCCACAAACTGAAAGCTTCATGTTCATTTCCCAGTCAGGGCACATGCCTAGGTAGCAGGTTCAGTCCTAGGTTGGGGGTGCATACTAAAGGCAGCCAATCAATGTTTCTCTTCCTCTCTTTCTCCTTCCTTTCCCCTCTCTCTAAAATTAATAAGCATGTTTTTAGATGAGGAGAAAAAAAAACCTAAAGAAAAAAGTAATAATAAATGATAACCTATTTTAAAATTTGGAGGAAGGTGGATTAAAGGAAAGTTGAAAACTTAAACAAATTTTTAAAACATGTAAAGATTTAAAAAAATGGACATTTACAGCATATTAGGTACTAAAATAGCAAAAATCAACCTAATTCATATGTTTAATTTTGTAATTAAGAAACTAAGAAAAAATGTTAAGAGCAATTTATTGCTATTTTTTAAAAAGCTTTCACTTTTTAATATAGCAATAATTAAAAGGATAAGCAAAATTTTAAAAATTTTCAAAATTCTACTCATGCATTGTGGGACCCTGGAAGTTTTCTTTTTTTCATTTTTACTTTGTCCCCAGGTCAAGAAATAAAACACTACTAGTGTCCTACAGCCTACCTGAGTGCCCTTCTCCAATTGCAACCCCCTTCCCTCTCTTTAAAGAAACCATTATCCTGACTTTGTGATAATCATTTTGTTGTATTTTACATATATAATGATATGTCTTTATTTAATATCATATTACCTGATTTTGAACTTTACATGAATGGGATTACGTTGTTTGGTTTGTATTCTTTCATGTTTTGATTGGTCACACCAGATTATGCCACATCTGTCCCTGATGCTGAAATGTAATTTTGGTTCATTCATTTTCTTTGCTGTATAATATTAAAGTATATGAATAAATCACGATGTATTTATCTATTCTACAGTTGAGGGACATTTGGATACTTCCAATTTTTGACTACTAAAAATAATCCTTCTATGAACGTTCCTGTACATATATCCTGGTACCAACATATAGTTTTTCCTAGGGTAGAACTACTGGGTCATAAGGTATACATGCGTTCTAAAGTTACAGCCAAAATGTTTTCCGGTGGTTGTTCCAATTCATACTACCACTGGCCAGGTAAAAAAGTTCCTGTTGTATTGTATCCATAATGAAAACCCTTGGTGTCCACAGAATTTACAATTTTTGCCCTTCTTTTGGACATGAAATACTAAGTCTGTGGGGTTTCAATCTGCAATTCCAAAATAGAGCTGCTGATAGCAAACTCTCTTTTGACTGAAAATGTCTGTGGTCCTCATTCTGGATATCTATTTTTAATGGGTTTAGAATTCTATATAGCCAGTATTGTCCTACTTAACATTAAAGAGGGCACTCTCTTGGCTTCCACTGTTGCTGATGAGAAGTCAACTGTCAATCTAACTATTGTATCTATAAAGTATTCTATTGTTTCTCGCTGGTTATTTTTGATTTTTGTCTTTGATGTTCTGAAGTTTCTGTTATATGTATCTGGATGAGAATTTTTCACTTAACCCTTCTGGGATTGATGAGCTTTTTGAAACTACAGATTAGTCTTTCATCAGTTGTGAAATATTACCACCCATTACCTCTTCAAATATGTCTGTTCTATGTTTGTTCTACTCTTGCTCTGTAACTCCAATTAAAACTGTTAGATAGTCTCACTTCATTCTTTATTTCTCACAATCTTTCTTCCTTATTTAACTTCTTAACCTCCTGTCCTATGTGTTGGATAGCATCCTCTAATCAATTTTCTAAGTAAACCACCCATCCATGAAGTTTTTAATTTTTATATTTTTCAATCTAGAGAATCTTTTGACATTTCCCCAAAGTTTTCTGTAGTTTCTTGCTCCTTTCAGATGTTTTCAAATCTTTCCTTTCTTTAAACATAATAAGTATAGTTGTTCTATAATTCTAATAAGAAGTCTTAGTAAGCCCTGACTGGGTAGCTCAGTTGGTTAGAGCGTTATCTCAATATGTCAAGGTTTCCATTTCAATCTCCGGTTAGGGCACATATAAGGAGCAACCAATGAATGCATAAATAAGTGGAACCACAAATTGCTGTCTGTCTGTCTCTCAAATCAATAAATAAAGTTTTTTTAAAAAGAAGTCTTTGTAAGTATTTCACCTCACTGTTGTTTCTACTAGTCCTTGTTCAGGGTTGTTTCTTTGTGCCCTTGGTTATTTTTAATTCTATGCTGCTTGCTCACACATCAGAAACTGTTTGAGAGTATTGTTTCAGGGCTAGGGTAAAGGTATCTAAGCAGAGAGGATTTCTATTTGTTCTTCCTGGCACGTAGGTATCCACCAGTTCTGGACTACTTGAAGCTTGAGGCTTTTGCACCATTCAGGTAGCATGAATTTGTCCAGTCAATTTGCCTGAGGGTTACTTTGTGGTACAGTTTATAGTCTGGATTTCCCCTCCCTGCTGCTGTACTCTACCTGCTCAGCTCAGTGATAATGCAATCTTTTTGCAATCCACTGGGGGATATAGTTTTTTAGGGTCCAGTTTTATTTGAGGAGCATCTTCCTTTAGATTCTCCACCTTGCATGGACCCTGAGCTTTGACTTTCATTCACTCTCATGTCATGAGAACATTAAGACTGAAGTTCAAGTTTGTCCTCAGTAAACGTACTCAGTGCAAAACCATGTTCAGCGCTCTGTTTACCTCTATAGGTTCTTACATTCTCTTAGATTTTGTCCTTAAAATTTTAATGGCTGGTAGGAACTTCTGAGAAGTTGGGTTGTTAAAATCTAGTGTTTGTTAATTCCTTTCAAAGAGAAGTCTAGTCTAAATAACCTAGCCTACTACATTCTAAGGAACAAATTTGTTCTTTCTTCTTTGCTTTTAACAGAAGACCAATATAATAATAAAAAAATTACACATAATTCTGTCACTTTTTAAAACCTTTGTGCACATTCCTTTCTAGTCTTTGACCATATAAAACATTTTTCTCCCCACAGGTTATATCAATCTGCCATTTTTACAGCAGCTAATGTCTATATTTATTATTTGGGGGGATAGTAAACAAAGGCCAGTGGTCAGTAGGAAAAAAAAAGACTTAGGAAAGAACATCTTGAAATTTGCAAAGGTCTTCTTTGGGGAATAAACTTACAGAAAGTCGAGATCCAGCTCTTGCTCTGGCAATACTCTCCTTTTCCTTTTCAGACACCTTTCTCTGCACAGTCTGGAAATTGTTTAAGGCTGCAGAGAAGTCATTCATGAGGCGTTCCTTCTGAAGTCTCTGCTGGCGCTAAGGAAATTAAACAGAAACTTGAAATTGCATACTAAGCCCAAATCATTTGGTTTTAATACCCATTAAAAACAATATCATATGACCTGGCTGGTGTGGCTCAGTGGATTGAGTACCTGCCTGTGAACCAAGTGGTCACTGGTTCGATTCCCAGTCAGGGCACATGCCTGAGTTGCAGGCCAGGACCCCAGTAGGGGGAGTATGAGAGGCAACCACACATCAATGTTTTTCTCCCTCTCTTTCTCCTTCCCCTCCTTTCTCTCTAAAAATAAACAAATAAAATCTTTTTTTAAAAAAAGTAATATTATACCCCCTAAAGATTCCCTACTAGCAAAATTATTATAAAATAGGCTCTTCCTTAAATTAATAATTTTGCTCTTTGCTAACTCAAATCCCTGGTTAATATTATAGGCCACATCAGAATTTTCATTCTGACAAACCTGAGAAGTGGGTGACATTTACTTTGTAAGGTAATCTCAGAGGGAATTGCAATTCAGAATTTTGGTTCCCCAGAGAATCAAAAGCAGACTAAATACCTTCGGACTCAAACTAGACCCAAAAAGAGATTTTTTTAATTAAAATGTTAAAACTGTATTCATCTATGCTGAGTGCAGAGCTTCTCTGAAAACCTTTGGGTCATTTTCCTTTACCCTATGGTGATGCTTTTAAAACTTTGAGAACCTGAAAACTAGTTTGTATAATTACAAGCTACTTTAACTAAGCTTACTGATTCTGTGCCTCAAGAAAAGCACATACTAAGAAAACTTGCTGTGTGCTGAGGACATCGAAGTAAAAACTCATCCCTGACCTCAAAGAGCTTATACCATGTCTTTGTAAATAAAGGATACAGACATACAAGTAACAAGTCATTATGATAAATAATTGCTTATCTAATCAGTACTATAGGAGTTTAGAGGCAGGTATAATCAGTAAGAACTCAAGGGGTCAAAAAGGCCCCAAGAGAAGGTGGTCACTTGAAGAAAGAGTAAGGCATGAATAAGCAGAGAGAAGGGATTAGGCAGATCCAGACAGGAGAACAGTGTGCACAAAAGCATGGCAGTGAAATCTGGAGAGGCTCTGTGAGGAGATAGATAGTTTGACTACAGCCAAAGGTGTTTTTCATGAGAATAGCTAAAAGATGAAGTTGGAAAGGCAGGGAAGGGGCTAACTATAGCAGGCTTTAAAATGCCAAGCTAATGAGTTTGGGACTTAACCTCTAAGAACAAAACAAAATGAAGTTTTCTGAGCAGGAAACATGATGGATACAAAATGACAGTTTAGACAAATTATTTTGTGATGGTGTAGAAAATGGAATGGGGGAAAAAATCAAAAAGATTACTGCAATACTCTAGGTTTAAGGTTAGAAGGATATGGTATCTGTCAGTAATGGGAACACAAAGGAATGAATTTAAGAAACATTATGACTTAGTGGCTGTAGGGGAAGGGGGCAGAGTCAAGAATGACTCAAATTTCACACTTGGGAGAGTAGCAGTAATATTGAAAGCAAATTTGGAAATGAGAAACCTTTTTTTCTTTTTCCTGGGATTTTTATTTTATCATAAACATTGTAACAATAAGGGGAGAAATACATCATTCCCCAATTTCACTGTCCAAAAATACTATCTTTCAAATATATTATAAACATCTTCCATGTTACCATACTCTTGACAATTATGGTCTTTGTTACATAACATTTTATTAAGCTGATCTAGTAAACTTTATGTAAACATGCCTTCTATTATAAATAAATACTTTTATTATAAATAATTTATATTATAATATAATTTATATTATAATATAATAATTAAAATATTTATAATATAAATAAACTACTATAAATAAAGCTGAAGTGAGCCCTAGTGTAACAGCTAATATTTATACAGTGCTTGCCATGTGTTTGTGCTGATATAAGTACTTAGTATAATAACTCATTCAATCCATACTAGAACCTGTATTAGTTAGGTACTACTACAGTCCCTGTTTTACAAGTCAGAAAACCGAGGCCTGGCAATTGGTTAAGAAATTTGTCTATGGTCACGTAGTCAGTGGCAGGCAGCACTTAAATCCAGGAAATTTGGCTCCAGAGTACATAGTTGGGGTTTTTGGGGGTTTTTTTTCCCCCTCTTAGTACTTTTTTTCCTCAGGACAAATTTGGGTGAGTGGATATTAGGTAAAAAGGCTCAAATTTTCTGACAATGTAGATCACCAATCAGCTTAGTTAAGGGGTTTGGGTGAAATGGGAGGAATTCAGTATAAGACAACACATTAAATTTTAGATGGAGGCAGTATATTCAAGAGGAGAGTTCAGAACAGGAGTTGGCAAGAGAGGCTTAGAGGCTAGGCTGGAAAAAGATCTGGGGGCGATGTTCATAAAGAAGACAGGATGCTCATAAAGACAGGACTCCTGAGGGAGAAAGCAGAGAGTGAGAAAATTCCATACGGGATGCAAGGCAGAGCTACCGTCTCAGAGGAGGGTGCGACTCAAGCTGGTGTCAGGAAAAGCAGGCCAGAAAGGGATCGCCAGAGTTGGGGGACAAAATGGAAGGGAATCATGGAAAAAAGAAAGTTTTAGCAAAGACAGGATGGGCAAGGGGACCAAAGGAATCAGAGAAGTGAGTAAGAACCAAAAAAGACCCAGATTTAGCAACTAGAAGATCACTGATAATAGTACGTAAGTACGAAAAAAATACTGAAAGTAGAATGTATGGCTTGATGTATAGGACAGTAGCAAAAGATGGGTAACGCGGCTAAGATTAATTAGATGAAGAAAGACTTGAAAAGGAATAGAGTATTCAGCACAATAGAAGGAAGGGAATCAAGGAATTATATTTCACCAGAGACAGTATATTTACAGATCTATTTCAAGTTTTTAATGACCCAAGATAATGGAAGGGAACAATAGCATGCATAATCCAAAAATAACTTCTATTTGATTTTGGAATACATTAGATCCATTTTCTTTTTTTGGTAGCAGATTTAACTTTCTATTTATATTTTGCTTAGGCTACTATTTAACTCTTAAGCACTTTCAATACTGTTTTCATCAGATTCCTTTTTTACTGCTACTATTTTCTACAAGTATGTATTCTCTAAGTGCACAGCTAGGAGGAGAGGGGTAATTTTGGAACAATTTAGAGACACTGGATGGCAAGGGAGGATTTGTCCATAATTGAAATTATCAGCATGAGTAACAATGAAAACAAACAGCACACAGATGGATAACCAAAGGGTGATTAGATGAAGATTACTTTTTATCTTAGCTACTTTGTAGCAGGCTGAGAAGGCATCTAGCCTTGGATCCTCTCTCTTGTGCAAGAGGTCCCAAAACTCCAAATACTAAATGTATACTTTGTTAAACAGCTTACCAGGCATAAATTAAACTAGTGATATTCAACCTGTTTGGATGGAGACACACAGTAAGAATGTGACATCTTAATGCAGTACCATATACATGAATATATACAAGTTTCATGTAACAATAACATACTCTATTTCTACTCTATGTCACAATACACTATAATTATTTTATGTTCCAATAGCCACAACTCATAGACAACCCTGGGATAAGGAAGTTGTAGGCTTCATCTTTAGAGCCATCAGAGATAGGACATTATCATTTAAAAAGTTCAATAATAAAAAGCAGTATGTTAAGTGTCCTCCATGAATGGTATAAGCAAAAATGGACTCAAAAGATTTAGATAGATGAAGGTTTGGTTTCTTCTCTAGAAGAGAGAGGATTTGAGGTAGACCATGAACGACAAGTAAAACAGTCAAGCCACAAAGGAGTAAGCACATCTGACTTCAGCAATGTAAGAACAAAAGGCATGGCATATCAAGGAAACCAATGACTCCTACAAAAAGTGTGTGTTTTTAAAGGATTTAAATGGCCACTAAGTAAAATGACTTAAAAAGTGAAATCCTTTTTCCTGATCATTTTCTCAATCTGAGACCTATGAATGACTCATGATTGGACATGAGAGTGACTGCAAAATAGAAAAGACATATAATTGAAATTTATAGATACTGGATACAACACAAACTAGGATCATCCCTGAAAATGTAAAGCTGCTATCCAAAACCTAAAAAGATGCAAACACTGAGATTCTCCTTCAGTTAAACCTATTTTACTAATATATCAATATGTTATTACTAAAAATAAGAGCAGCCACTACATACTGAGTACCTACTAAGTGCCAGGTAATTTGTGCGATCTGGTGCATACATTCTTTCTCTTGTTACAATGGCTGCATTTTCGCATTTTACTGATAATGAAATTGAGGTTTAGAGAAGGTCTATCTAGCACCAAAGGAGAAGTTATTTTTGTTTCACACACTGTCCTCCCATTAAAATAATGTCTTTTCATATTAAAAACCAAACAAAACAACAACAAAAACCCAGAAAACACCTACCTGCTCTGAAGTAGATAAGGGAAGGGGCAAGGTCCCTAATTCCTTTAGTAATTCATTTGTTTCCTTTGCAAGCTGATTTGTAGAATGTTGTAACTGTTGCCTAAGAGAGAAGAAACATGTTTCAGGATTTTCTCACTTCTTGAGAACTGTCACAGTTAGTATCAGCTTGTTCTCAGAACATCTCACAAAGCAGGGGATGAAAATGCACTTGAAGAAATGGGTTACTAGATGCTCAGGTTCACAACCAAATTCCAGAGCAACTACCCAGTCAAACCCTCTTCAAGGCTTCTTCACATTATTGAGTAGAAAGAACCTGCCTCAAGTATTGAAGCCTGTTGATCAGGTATTTTAACTCTTTGGGAAGAAAAGAAAAGCATATCAGTTCTGATAGAAATATAAGAAGAGAAACCGCTCTAAAGCTACATCTAAGCATTTTAAGACACTGAACTCTCACAAAACTCCCACGCTGAGTTGCCCAGGGGTTCTGCACGGCTACTGTCACAGTCCGCTTCCTAGAGACAGAATCCTGACACTGGCCGTTTCATAAAATGTGCATTTAAAGCACAGCTCCTACCCTGGAGAGAAACCTCCAAAGATCTCCTCCCAAGTCCTTGCTTAAAGCTCATGTTCTTTCAGCATTACCCTTGACTTGCTACTGGTTCTTTATGCCTTGACTTTCTGGTCCTTCCCTCTAAAAACAAAAAAGTCCTATAGTGTGTAAATGCATATAAGGAGTAGAGGGGAAAGGACATTAAAGAGGGAATAATATGTAATATATTAGGTGGAATTGAAAAGTAGTGAAAATACAAAAAGGGCTCCTGTCAGCCATGGTTTCCTCTGTTATCTGGCCATGTCTGCAAAGATTTTAAGGGAGGACAGAGAAACCACACTACTAATTATTAATGGTTTTTCACTGCAAAAGAGACTCCAAGATAAAAAACAAGGGTGTCAAAAATAAAGGGGAGTCAATCAGGAGCCTGAACATCCCAGACAGTACTAACATATCCAGAGATATTTCACACCTCCTTGGAAAAAGCTTAAAGTAGTAAGTCATTCTTTCACTTCACAACGTCTAAAACAGGAACAAAGGACATTGTTCAGTATATTTTAAAGATAAATAATAGAACTTCTAACAGCAGAAATGTACTCAAGAAGGATGTGATAAAAAGAATCACCTGTCTCTACTACCAGTCAACTATTATCTCTGGCTCCCCTGGGGTCGTTCTGAAGCAATTTTTCTAATAATGTATATAGTTGGAAATCCAAGTAGATGAGATGACCTCTGTAGATCATCAGGAGTCCTCTGCCAACAGGGAGGGTCAACTTAGGCAAAGTATAGTTTAAGAGAGGTAGGGGTTCCCTTTTCTATTTCCCTAAACTGTTCTGCTAAACTGCCCAAGGAAGGAAAGAACAGATATCAAGGACTTTAAGAGGCAGGAAAGGTCACAACCCATTAATGTATTTTGTTGCCCCTCTTTCTAGATCCTATTGCTTTGTGTCCCACTGCCTCTCCTTCTGACATCACAGGCCTGACACCTAAGCTTTCATGTAGCAATGACATTGTGTCCTGGAAGGGCCCTCATAAAACCCAGCTTCATTAGGAACCTACTCACAGATTTTCCTGTAGCTTGGTGGAGTCCTGTTTAGTTCCTAGTTGGCTCATCAAATTCTTTATCTGAGCAGCTGAGAAGGAAAAAAGATTTGTTAAAAGAAAAAAAAATTTATCATGAGCAGTCTATGTCTAAGATCACCAGTTTTTTCCCACATCCTGAATTAAGTACATGCAACTAATAGAAAGTTTGCTATGATCAAAACCTTGGCATATACATTCCCTTAAATTCCAAGGTTCACCTTTGTCCCACAGAGTAACTACATCTCTAGGTGGAAGGTGGTAGTTTTTTTCATCACCCCCAAAGAACTTCCGAATTTTTCCAGATTTCCCATGGCACTGGATAAAAATTTAATCATGTTTAAAAGGGTCTTGATAGCAAATATAGGCCTTAGCTGATAATGGCTCAGTTGGTTGGAGCATCATCCCGTACACTGAAAGGTTACAGGTTCGATTCCTGGTCAGGGCACATACCTAATTAGTTTCAGGTTCAATCCCCAGTCAGGGCATATATGAAAAACAACCAATCTGTTTCTCTCTCACATCAATGTTGTGCACGCGCTTGCGCGTGTTCGCTTCCCCCCCCCCCCTTCCTTCTTTCCTCTCTAAAAGTAATAAAAAAATGTTCTTGGGTGAGGATAAAAATTTAAAAAATTTTTTAAATAAAATACAAACAAAATGGCCTTAATACCAAATATCACAATAAAAACTACAATCCACTAGTACATAATAATTTTTTACAGCAAACATTTTTGGAAAGACATGTATTACTTATTATTAATAAAAAGTTACCAATGCCCTGGTTGGTGTAGCTATGAGAGTTGATTGCCAGCCTGTGAACCAAAGGGTCACTGGTTTGATTTCCAATCAGGGCACACACCTACACTGGGGGGGGGGGGGGTAGGTCCCCAGAAGGGGGCATGTGAGAGGCAACCTATCAATGTATCTCTCACACACTGATGTTTCTCTCTTCTTTCCCCCTTATTCCCCTCTCTCTAAAAAAAAAAAAAATCTTTAGAAAAACCATTTTAAAAAGTCTGTATCTATGTGTCTGTTTCTGTTCTGCTTGTCTGTTTATTTTGTTTTCTAGATTCAATTTTTGATAGACATGTACTACTGCCATTTTATTGTTCATATTTTTTACCTTTTCTCCTTCTCTCTCCTTCCCCTCTCCCACTCCTTCTTCAAGAAGAACCTATACTATTTTATGTAATCCTGGTTTCGTGGGGATGAACTCCTTTAGCTTTTTCTTGTCTAGGAAGCTCTTTATCTGCCCTTGGAGTCTAAATGATTCTTTGCTGGGTAGAGCAATCTTGGTTGTAGGTCCTTGCTTTTCATCACTTTGAATAATTTCTTGCCAATCCCTTCTGACCTGTAAAGTTTCTGCTGAAAAATCAGCTGAGAATCTTATAGAAGCCCCCTTTTTAGTAACTAACTGCTTTCTCTTACTGCTTTTAAGATTCTCTCTCTGTATTTAACCTTTTGCATTTTAATTATGATGTATCTTCATGTGGACCTCTTTGGGTTCATCTTGCTTGGGATTCTCTGCATTTCCTGGACTTGTATGTCTATTTCCTTCACCAAGTTAGGGAAGTTTTCTGTCATTATTTTTTCAAATAGATTTTCAATTTCTTGCTCTCTTTCTTCTCCTTCTGACCCCCCTAGAATACAAATGTTGGTACACTTGAAGTTGTCCCAGAGGCTCCTTACACTATCCTCATTTTGGGGGGATTCTTTTTTCTTTTTGCTGTTCTGACTAGATGTTTTTTGCTTCTTTATATTCCAAATCATTAATTTGATTCTCTGCTTCATCTACTCTGCTGTACTATCAGTTCCTTGTAAATTATTCTTCATTTCAGTTAGTTTATCCTTCATTTCTGACTGGTTCTTTTTTATGGTTTACATGTCCTTTTTTTATGCTGCTGAAGTTCCCACTAAGTTTGATGAATATCGTTATAATTATATTTTGAACTCTGCATCTAGTACATTGCTCGTCTCCATTTTTGTTCAGTTCTTTTTCCGAAGTTTTGTTGTGTTCTTTCATTTGGGACATGTTTCTTTGTCTCCTCATTTTGTCAGCGTGTTTGTGCGCGTGTGCACGCGCGCGTGTGTTCTATGTATGAGGTAGAGCTGCTGCTTCTCCTAGGCTTGCTAGAGTGGCCCAATGTAGTAGCTGTTCTGTAGGGTCTAGTGGCACAGCTTCCCCAATCACCCAAACTGGGAAATACAGGTGTGTACCCCCATGTAGTCTGGATACACCCTCTTGCTCAGTTGAGCCTTAGGAGGGATTTACTCCAAGGCCTATCGGCTGCACGGGCTGGCTGCGACCACTGACCACAAACCACTGTGGAGGATCAGCTGTCCCGAGTGATGGTTGTTCTGCAGTTTAGCTGTAACTTTGATGTGGTTGTGAGAGGATGTGAGTACCACATTTACCTACCCTGCCATCTTGACCAGAGGTCTCCTGTCTATTGTTTTTAATCCATCTACAATAACAAACCTTTGTAATATCAAAGTAATCTTTTCAGACCCCTCAGGATACAGCCATCACACCAGCGCACGAGATTATAAAACCACAGAACCCCTCTTCTTCTTATCTTGTCCACATACCCTCTCTCTATTGTAACTGACAGCTATCCTATAAAGAAGTATGTGTCCCTCCATTTTACTTTTCATCCAATCTCAGAGATATCCCTGCTTTGCTTTCTCCCACATCTCTAGTCTATCACCAGTGGATTTCACACAATCCCTTGAGACTCTCCTTTGATTCTAAAATATAAAATAAGCTGTAAAACTGCCATTCTCTTGACCATTTGCTCAATCAACTGAGATTTTGATTCCCACCAACTGACATCATTTTGGCTCAAATAAACTCTTATAAGACTTTTTCTTAGGATGAACTTTCTTTCGCGGACAGCCTCTAAGTCTGACGAGAAACAATGATTAAGCAAAATCTTCTTAATGATTGTTGTGTGGCTTTGCTCCTAAGTGGAAGCAACCTAGCCCTTAGAAGTATGCATGAGTTATTTCTCATTAGCCAAAACAATCACTGTATCATAGATGTTTCAACCTAAAATTTATAAAGTCAAAAATACACAGGTTTATAGCATTTCAAATTATGATTCTGTTATTTTCAGACCATGTTTTTCTAGCAAAAATGTAACTCCAACTTTATAATGGAGATACAGGATTCACTTGATTACAGGAAGATGTAACCACTATAATTACTGCATTCTGCTAGTATAGCATTATATAAGATATAATTTTTCACTACTAACATGGGATTTCCCTTCTTATCTAAATCAAATGGGAATCAGGATATCACCAAAGCTATCAACCAGTTAGCCATACAAATAATTTAAGAGAGAGGGCAGACATTAGAATTTACTGAGCATTTACTATGTGCCATGGGGGTATATACTTGATATGGTATAATAAAAAATATATTTAGTCACTGTCACCATTTCCTGGCACAAAGTGCCTAAAACCCTTGGGATTTCCTGAGTAATAGAGCGTCTTTTGTTATTCATAAAGAGCCCCTTTTGAACACACCAAGTTTATGCTAACGATGTGACTTGGGTGGGGCCTCTAGATAGCCTTAGATTGGGTGTGGCTGGTTGCCAGAGTGACCAAGTGATTAGAAGGTTGGAACTTTCAACCAGACACACAAACCTCAAGCAGGAGGAATGGGGGGGAGGGATACAGATTAAGCTCTATAAAAGCTCTTAAACTAGATTCGATGAACTTCCAGTTAGTGAAGAGGGTGTCTTGAGCTCAGAGGTGACAAGGTAGCTCAGAGCTCCTTCTTACATACCTGCCCTAGGCATCTCTTCCATCTGGCTGTTCCTGAATTATATCCTTTTATAATAAACTGGTAACTTAGTTAGTAAATGTTTTCCTGAGTTCTGTGAGCCTCTCTAACATGTTAGCAGAACCTGAGGACGTGGTGATGAGAACCTCAGTTTCTGATCTGCAATTGGCGTGGGGCACAGTCATGTGGGAATGAAACCTTACTGAACCTGTGGAATCTGATGCTAATTCCAGTAGTCAGTGTTGGAATTGATTGAAACTGCAGGATACCCAATTGGTGTCTGGAGAAGCTGATTATTGCTTGGTGTGTGGAAAACCCACATATCTAGTGTCAGAAGTAAATTATTGAGAGTAGAGGAAACGCGGGAGGGGTGTTTTTCCTTTACACTTGGTATGATCTTATTTGATCCAACAATCCCCCTTTTTTAAAAAAGATTTTATTTATTTTTAGAAAGAGCGGAAGGGAGGGAGAAGAAGAGGGAGAGAAACATTGATATGCAAAAGAAACAGTGATCCAATGCCTCTCGCATGCCCCCAAGTGTGGGACCTGGCCTGCAACTCAGTCATGTGCCCTGACTGGGAATTTAACCTGTGACCTTTTGGTTTGCAGGGTGGTGCCCAACTCACTGAGCCACATCAGTCAGGACTGATCCAACAATCCTTTAAATAAATAAGCATTACTGCCCTGGCTAGTGTGGTTCAATGAACTGAGCGCTGGCCTGTGAACCAAAAAGTCACTGGTTCAACTCCCAGTCAGGGCACATGCCTGGGTTGTGGGCCAGGTCCCCAGTTGGGGGTGTGTGAGGGGCAACCAACTGATGTAACTCTCGCACATCAATGTTTCTCTTCCTTTCTCCCTCCCTTCCTGTCTCTCTAAAATAAAAATAAAATCTTTATTAAAAAAATAAATAAATAAGCATTACTATCCCAATATTACAGATGGGCACACTGAGGATCATGAGAAGTCTCAACCAAAGTTAGACTGTAATCAGGAATAAAAGCGTGTATTTGAGCAAAAAGAGCTGCAGCCCAGAAGACAAAGATTCAGATATCAACCTAAATTATGCCCCCACAAAACAAAGAAGCCAACTTTTTTTTTTTTTTTTAAATCCTTACCCAAAGAAATGCTTACTGATTTTAGAGACAGGGAGGGAAGGAGGGAGAGAGGGAGAGAAACAATGTTTGGTTGTCTCTCATATACATCCCTACTGGGGACTGAACCTGCAATCTATGCATGTGCCCTAACCAGGTATTGAACCCAAGA